ATGAGAAGGAAGGACCCCCTGGAGAAGACCCTGATGCTGGGAACAATTGATGGCAAAGGAAGAAGGGGGCGGCAGCGGATGAGGTGGCTGGATGGAGTCACTGAAGCAGTTGGTGTGGGCCTGGGTGGACTCTGGGGGATGGTGGAGGACAGGAAGGCCTGGAGGAATGTTGTCCATGGGGTCGCGATGGGTCGGACGCGACTTTGCGACTAGCAACAACATTTGCAGAAGGCCCGTGGAGACAGTCCTTCACTGGGACGCTTCCCAGTGCGTAGCGAAGCATCGTGCTCACATGTATGTTGTGTCACCTTTGCTGGACCGAAAAGGCACGGCCCTGCAGCCAGCTGGGCGACAGCATGTGGAAGTGGGGGCCACTCGATGGCCCGAGGCCGCTTCCACCTTCTACTCCGTTCCGGTCTATCCCCTCTCTGCATCTGCCTTCTCCAAGCCATGGTCACCAGCTGCTATTGCCCCCCACTTCTTTCCCAAGGCTTCTATGGCTCCCACATAGTAAATAGGCAGGGAACCGGGAAGCGAGCAGGCCGGGCCTCTCCTGCCGCTCGGGCTGGAGCGAGGGGCAGGGGAACAAGCAGGTTGCCGTGGGGGAGAGGATGCCTGGAAGGTTCTTGTCAGTGGGCCTCTGCTAGGATGTGGATCCTCAATGCCCATCGAGCCCATCCTTGATGGTGGACCTAAATACGCATTTTGCATCAAGAGCCCAGTTTCATCCCCAGGCATCTCAAAATAAAGAGATCTGCAGTAACTGGACTAGAGAAAGGCCTCGTTTGTCCCTGAGACTGCAGGTGGGGAGGTCAGTTCAGTAGCACTGAACAGGAGGGGCCAACGGTCTGACTTGGCATAAGGTGCCTTCAGGATCAGGCTGGCCCTTCTTGCTTTTGAGCCTTTCTTAGCTTCCAGCTTAGTTTCTAGCTTCTGAGCTCTTAGCTTCTTCACCTATGTAACTTCCAATCTATTTAAGTTCTATGAACTTGGTTCTTTTTGCCTTCTTGGAGGATCTGTGGCACCCAAACCACAGTGCAAATGAAAGATGCACTACAACCTATGCAGGCCTTTATTGCACCTGTAGTGGTGAAGCCCCCAGTATCTTGAGCTTACATGACGGCATGGAATATTCGCAAACATTTCAACTTTCAGCAAACGAGAACCCAGCATGCCCCATTTCATCTTATGCCGGCAGCACTTCCGGCATTTGAAGGCTGGTCTCGTGTCCCCTTTAACCTTCCCCAGGCTCAACATACCCAGGTCTCCTTCCTGCCAAGATGTGGTTTCCAGATTGCTCACTATCTTGCTCCAGCTCTTGCTCCTAGAAGTGTTTCTGGATGTGCCTACTAGACAATCAATTGGTTGCTGCATGAGCCTGGTGTCAACCCAGCTCACTCAGTCCTCCTGCTATTGGCATATATCCCACCAGCAACTACGGCTTAAATACCACCCCGTGTTGGATAGCTGCTGCAGCTGCCACTCTTTCCAGGGGGCTCTGTGGTAGCTGCATATCAGGACGGTGGAAACCATGATACTGGGTTCCGATGACCGGAGAAACCATGATGAAGTATGGAAGCCCTAGAACACACCGTTGTTTTGTATCATGGTTTCTAAAAACCAAACATACCATGCTGAAATATCATGATGGGGTTCAGCTAATACAACAGACCATCCTGTGCAGGAAATCACCATGGTTTGCGGTGTCATGGAAACCTGTCTGGTATGTTTGTGTTAGCAAGTAGACCTTGAAACAAGCAGAAGTCGATGCAAGGCCTGAATTCTCTACAAAGGATTAACTCTACTAGCCTGCCCATCCCAGGCCCAGCATTATACAGGTAAAAGGGAAGCAGAGAGGGGAGTTAGAAGGATGGGGGGCTTATGTGTGCTACCCCAGTAGTTATTTGGGCAACTCAGAATTGGCATAACCCTTCCTAGCTGAAACATAATTATACAGCGGTGAGAATTACAGTTGTAAATACTGTGTTATGTCAGAGAAATTCACCTTATTTATGCACCAGTCATAGCTAAGCATCTCTGCAGATTCAGTGGGCCAATTAATGCAGCAGTACAGAAAGCCCCTTTGGGAAGAGAGTCTGTTAAGACAAAAACTTGCCAAGTACCCTGCATGCAACAGCCATTGCAACAAAGCAGGTGGACAATGACCGATGGCACTTCCTCCTTGCCACATTTCCATGCAGCGACTACCTTTTCTTTGTCACTCTCCATTTGGGAGGTAGCGGTTAAAAGCCTCGTCTTGGCCATGACAGAACGGGTGAAGTTGGCTAGACATGTAAATATTTCAGAGCAAGAACAGGGAAATGTTCAGAGAATTCTTCCTCAGACATAGCCCAGTCTTGTGGCAAAAAGCATGTGTCACCCCCAAAGCTTATGTCACAAGGGATCATCTTGTTTTTAAGATGCCGCAAGAATGTTTCATTGCAAGAGGACTAACACAACCAGTCGATATTGCATAATGTGTTTTTTATGTTAACGCAGCCAGTCGGCTTATTCAGAAGCATCCCGCTTTGTTCAATGGGTCACAATCACCAGTACACTGTGCACTGAATTTCCAGTCTTAGCAGCAAAACACCCAGTCATTATACCAGTTCGTAGCCTTCTCCCACCTGGCCAGTTATGCTTAATTCTAAACTTCGCCCTCCAGAGGAGAATAATATGAGATTTGCCACCATCAGCAAGATGGGTTATATAGAATGCTGCAATCACGCGGAAGGTCAAGAGAAGGAAGGGCCACCCTGGGACTCAGATCGGCCACAACAGTGAAGAGGTTGCAGCCAAAATTCAGTGATGCCATGAGCCACTCGGCTCACCAGGCCAATGACCACGGTTTCAAAGCATCAAGCTAAAATATGGCAGGATGTTGGCTGCATTGGCCCCCAGGCCTTCGGTCCCATCCACCACTGGAATCCTCCCCCAAGAAAAGGCGGTTTTGCAAAACTGAATTTGACCCTCGGGCTGAAACAGGCTCAAAATCCTTGCTATACACAGTTAAGCAGGTAACTTCCGCTGGACTCTGTGGGGGTGGCTTCCCAGGAGACGTGCATGAGATTGTACAGCTGATCCACTCAGCACTCATTCATTTTTCAGTTACATTCAAGGAACGGTAAGTTCTGTCCCTCAGGTTGGCACTTTGCAAAGAAGGTTTTCCTCCCGGACTGGAAGGGTGTGTGCTCTTCTTTCCCGTTGCCGATTTCGTATCGCCAGCCATAGCCAGCCAGCGGCGGTTAGGAAATGTCTGCAGATCGAACACTCTTGTCTGGACATGGAACCATTCGGCTCCTTTTGAGCAAGGCTGAGAGCGACTTTTAAGAAAACAATGGAGAAATCCAGGCATTTGGCATAATTGTTGCTGGACAGCAGCCAGGCCACCCAAAAACAAAAGGCAGCCGCACAGAGGAGATCCTGCACTTTCTAATTTAGGTCTTATTATGTGGGGGAAATGAGATTATTTAAATGTTTTTAGAGGAATGTGGCAGCCTGAGTGGCTTACAAGCTCTGTAGAATACCTTCCTGTTGGAATGGCTGGAGCCAAAGCTTTTTTTGTGTTTGCCATCAAAAGCCTCTATGCGGAGCACATACCAGGCAGTGGCAAAATCCTGCCTCTCATGTTCCACCAACTTGGATGCAGCCACACTGCATTTCAGATGTTAAGAGCTACCCTCGCCCCCCAAAAAAGTTAAGTCCTTTCACACAAAATACAGGCAGGGCTAGAGGAATAGCTTTGATCTTGGCTCTCTCGTTGGGAGGAGGATGAACCAAGGTAAGAAAAACCAGGCTGGATCAAACCGAGTTCAGCACTCTGCACTCACAGCAGCTGCCCACAAAATCCCTCAGCGACTGGTGTGCGTAGGCCGGCCCCCTCTGGTGAAGCAAGTCGCTCGTGGCCAGCAAGGCTACTAGCTGCCACGGCCACTGCCTCCTCCTCCATCTCCATGAATCTGTCCAATCCCCCTTTAAAGCTATGGAATGCACTGCCATTTTCCACGAATTTCATTTCCTATGAATTCCATAGCATAACTTTGCACTGTATGAAGGGTTTCCTTTTATCTGCCCTAAACCTCCAACCAATCAGTTTCATGGGGTGACTCTGGCTTCGAGTGTTGCGGGAGAGGAAGAAAAATACCTCCTGCTCCACTTTCTCCACACCATGCATTATTTTAAAAACCTCTCTCCTGTCTTCCCTTCCTTCTAAGCTGAACACCTTCATAGGGTAGCTGCTCCAACCCCTGGATCACCTTTGCTGCTCTTCCCTGTAGTTTCCCCAACTCAATGATGTCCTTTTTCAGGTGAGGCAACCAGAACTGAACTCAATATTCCAAGTGAGGGTGCAGCAAAGAGTTGTATAAGAGAAGTAAGATTTTGAAAGTTCTATTTCCTGTTCTGTTCCTGACTATGCCTAGGATGGAGTTGTCTTTCTTCACAACAGCTATGCACCGGGTGACCAGCATTTTCATCGAGCTGCCCCCGCTAGCCCAAGCTCCTTTTCTTGCTCAGTCACTGTCAGTTCAGCTCCCACCAGTGAATACTTGAAGTTCAGGGGTTTTTGTCCAATTTTTGCTCATTGGCCAGTATATAAATCAATCAATCAATCAATCAATCAATCAATCAAACATGCATTGTTGAGGTAAACCACACACAGCAGCCCAATCTGAGCGAGGCAGGAATCCTGGATTCTGCTCATCTTGGCTTTTTCCTAAGTATTGATTCTTTTAACTGAGCTTTCAAGAGAGTTGACACCTCCTAGTTCCCCCACCCTACTGCAATCCTGCCAAATTAGGTACCACCCTTGGATAGCCACTTGGCAAGGTTGCCTTCCTGTAACTAAGCCAGAATGCATTAATCTGAAAGGCATCTTTTTCTTTTGTATGTTCCCCTCCATTTTAACTACTGTCTTAGGTGCCATACATGGTCATGGTATCATATAACTTAGAATAATTCTCCCTTGTTCCTACCAACAACGTTCGCATCCATTCAGGAGGAAGAGCACCATGGGTCCAGTTTTTATGCCTCTACAATAAAAAGCCACTTTGCCAATCTGTCTTGCTCAATTTCAGACCTCAGGGAGCCAGAAACTCACACAAGCTGTCTAAATAATACCAATTAGGTCGCTATCTCTTCTCTGCTTGTGTTGGGAGTAGGTTTAGACAAGTAATTTAGATTGACCATTGCTGTAACCTGGCCTGTAGAAAGCAGTTTTGTTTTGCTAGAAACCCAAACAGCTATGGACAAGGTGGACCAGCTTTCAGATAAAATATTCAGAGCCACTGAGACTCAAACACTGCTATTTCTTGTCTTATCAAAGACAAGCCTTAGTAATAACCTTCCCAGGGATTCTCATGAGAAAGATGTAGATTTGTACCATCAGCCTTATTAAATTTCCCTGTTGGTGTGTGCCACGTGGTCAAGGAATCACACAATTTCTTAACAATATTTGAAGCACATGGTTTTAAACTTCCCAAAGAAAACTTGATCTTATACACAGCACACAAAAGACCCAATCACATTGGCAACAGTGAAACACGGAATGCTGATCTTGCCTTCCAAAGACAATCTCAAAACCCACCTTTCTGGCCCAGCTATTGCCAAATGGAGAAATGCAATTTGAAACATGTTTTTCTTCCTCACAATGGAGGAACAGAGAACAGAAAAAAATGTACAAACATTCAAAACACCGATTCATCAACGTATGTCCTAGCCAACAAATTCAGCAGCTCCTTCACTGTCAAGGAACATGTTACCATAGAGACAGTTAATGAATTTGCAGAGATACCAGGGAAGAAAATTAGATTGCTTAGAAGAACAGTTGTGCAGATTTGTGGTGGGCGGCCATCCAGTCCTTGATCAGGAGCGAGAGATAAACGCTTGCTTTGTGTTCTTTCAATGTACGCATTCAAGATGGATCAAGATTACTTGGGGTTGTTTTCTGGGAGGGGTCAAATATAATCCATCGATTTAATCTCCACTGTGGCCCTGGAAGAGGCCTGCAATGCAGACACACACGACGTTTGATAAGAAACCTCTCCAGGCAACCGTTTTGCCAGCACCTTTTCACTTCCAGGCTTGTGCTCAGTCAACCTTTGGTCCGCCACCTCCCTCTGGCGGATATTGTGAGCACAGGGGAAGGAATGTCAGCAGATGTGTGAACAGTAGGTATTTTAAGGACTCCACTTATAGTTTTGCACGTACTTGTTTTCTCGGGTATGTACAGAGAAGGTGCCTTTGCTCAAAACTTTTTCCACCTGACTGTGAAGCTCAGGCACCAGCTTGCCGTGTCCCACGCAGACTTGGAAGGACAAAAGGGTAACAAACGGAGAGGAAAGTCTCTTTCTAACCCACTAGGTCGAAATCGTCACGCTCCTGATTGTAATTGAGCACGTGCTGGCGGATGCGGGAAGAGTCGGTCCAAGTGATGAAGTCCTCCATGGCACGAGTCACTAAAAGGGCAGGGTCCGTCACCACCTCAGGTCCCACCCGAATATGTCCCTGCTCCACAAAGGTCACGGCGTCTTTCATGTTCTGGGCCATGCGAAGCTTCAGGAGCAGGCAGGGCAGGCGGCGACGGCAGAAGGAGGTGGCAGAGACGCGGTCGCACTGCTCCAGGGAGCTCTTGGAGGGCACCAGCCCCATGGCGTACAGCTTCTCCAGGAGGGCAGCGGTGCTGCGAGCCCGGAAAGCCGCCGACTGCGGCGCGTCACCCAGGTCTCGGATCCGGCGGGCCAGCTCCCGCACCGCCCGGCTCAGCTGGTTGTAGCGAGTATACTCCTCCCTACGCTGCAAGCGGTAACGCCGGAGCACACGCAGCTCAGCCAGGTTCCCGGAGGCAGCCTCCCAGTTCACCAGGTCGAGCTTCTTGAGGAGCTTCTCCTCGTGGAACTTGAGCTTGCGAACCATTTTTCCTCCTAGACAGTATGAATCATCGAGAGGCCCTGACTTACCATGCTTGCGTTATTCATAATGCATCAATAATCTACAAATTATAAGGTTACTAATAAATACCTATGAGACAGCGGCCATTGTCAAAGGGCTACACGGACGTTGAAAGAGTGATCCCATGGCTCCCATCATCTGGAGAACCACATGTGATACATTATCCCATGGCCCCCTATACAACATCTGGGGGCGGGGGGCACAGGATACGTTGGATCCAAGATCCAACCGCAGAGCTGGGATTCATGCTCCACAGCCCTGCTCACACCACCAGCACAGAATGAACTTCTCTGGCTGCGCCGCCAATGTCACCAACACAACACAACCTTGAGGAGGGGTAAAGGGGTGGTCCAGAGGGCAAGAATATGCCCTTCTCAGTCCTTGGCAGCCTCCTTCCTTCCCTCTCTGCACTGCCCCAGCTAGAGGACGCTCACTCCTCCAGCTCCGCCTAAGTTTAGTGGTTTATCATATGAAAGAGCTTCAGCTGAGCATGTGCTACACTAGCTGAGGATGATGGGAGCTGCAGTGCAACATCCCTGGAGGGCACCAGCTTGGGAAAGGCCACCTCAGGAAGGTGCTGCTAATTGGGTGTCCAAGATGGTATTGGGCTGAAGAACCTGAAGTCTGTAACTTGGTGTCATCTAAGCCAAAATTTTAGAAGGAACACAGCCAGCTGAGTAGACAATAAGCTTTGCATGCAGAAGGTCCCAGGGGGAAAACCCCAGGGTACCTCCTTATAGAAGAATTAGGTAGCAGACACTGGGAAAGACCCAACTCTGCCCCAAGCCTGCCTTTTTTTCTTTAAGGTAGTTGAACATTTTGTACAAGACAAAACAGATTCGAGGTACCAAAGCAGTAAACAAAGATATATAGTGCTTCAATTATTAAAGGAAATCAGAAAGATTATTTTAAACGTGTTGCCACTACTTATAAGCTGGATTTCTCAACAGTTGTCTTTAGACAGGTGTTAGCAACCCCAGTTCCTATCCCTAACCAAACTTAAGCCAATTCCTGTTTCAAGCTCCACTCCAGTTCACCCAGAGGCCAAATAGGAGCGTGTGGACAGCTTTCTTCTTCCCGGTTGGGGTTGGTTTCCACCTGGGACTTCAGACACTGTCCAGCAGGCTCCTCTAGAAGTCATAAGTCTGGCCCAACTCTCCAGAGCACCACCACCAGCTGACACACAGAATCCAGCTCTTGCCTCCAAAAGCTGCTCCGGAAGCAGATTCTTCCCACTCACAAGCAGCCTTCAGCAAACACTCTTAGGCTGGGCTCTTCAGTCCTGCCACTACTGTTCCCCCCAGCTGCCCTCTCCATCAGGCTCCACAGCTTCTCACAAAGACACTTCCTGTCAGAGTTTGCACAGCTCCAATTACGAGCCTTCCGGCTTTGGGTGGCATAAGCCTTAGGCTTCATCAGCGAGTGAAATTACCCAAAGGGCAATTTCAGTCCTGTTGCCAACTTGTGAGCGGTGTGCCACCTCCTTCACCGGAGGCGGCCTGCCTGCGTAGCCCAGTTGCTGCGGAGCTGGGCAGGCGAGGCCTTGCACCCATCCTGCCTGGGGGATCCTGCAGGCAGCTGGTTTGCCGCCCTGCGTGGAGTGCTGGCTACACTAGATGGACCTCGGATCTGATCCAGCAGGGCTTGTATTATGTTCTTAACTGCCCAGAAAGCTTCCGCTATTAGGCAGAATAGAAGTGAATGAAAGAAACGGAATAAAGAAATCCCTACGTTCCCGCAGAAAAAGAACCCGGCTTCGTCGTCACCTCTGGGTGGCAACTGTACCTGCCGATTTGTCAGCACACCCCGTTCACAACGCCAGGCTCCTACACACACGATTCATGGAAAAAACATACTCGCTCGCTTTCCGCTTGGCCCGTTCAGACCCTGGGCCGGGTCGCAGACGTTAAAGACAACAACGTGGCTTACTCCCGAGTAGGCACCGTGTGCTGCAGCGTTCGCGCCTCCCACCCACGCACCCACCCACACACACACTCCCAGCGTGCAAAGCGGCCACCCACGGAGACCCACACAGGCGACCCCAGGAATGCCGCCCGCTCCAGAGCCCACCTGCCCGAGCGCAGCTCCACAGCAACCGGCCGAGCTCGAAAAACGAGCCTTCTCCCGACAAGGCCGCGACCACGTGGGGAGACCCCGCACGCCTTCCTCTTCCGGTTTCCGCGTAGCCCCAAAGCTCCGCCCCCCTTTGAACATAGACTTAATAAGATGGACACACTTCCCTCGACTTCCGGGTTGACTTGAGACCGTAAGAGCCGCGCTGGGTAAGAACAAAGTCCTGTCTGACTAGCGCCCTGATTGCCCCAGGAGCGCCCCGGATGCCCCAGGGCGGAGCCCGCAGGCGAAACGCGAGCGTGATCTCTCTTTCCCGTTGTTGATCTAGTTGTACTTCAGCAACCGGCATAAGGAATAAACTCAGCAGAGCAATTTGTCTGGCGGCGGAAGAAAGCGTTTCTCCTGTCTAAATATTTTAATAAATAAAAATTAGTTTATATTAATAAAATAAAAACCACTATCTAATGTTTATATTAATCTTCCATTTTGGTTGTCCCCCTCCCCCAGTGATTTTGGATTGGATTATTTCTATTGTTTTAATGAGTGTGCTATTTTTCAATATTGTAAGCTGCTCAGAGGCGGGAGAATGGGGAAGAGAATTCTAAACAGTCTCCTAGCGAGAGCTGGTTGGCACCGCCCACTCCGCCGACGTTGATTGGTGGGCCGCGCGAGAGGGCAGGAACGCGGCCAATCGGAGGGCGGCTCTCCTTTCAGTGCGGCCAATCCGCGGCGGCGGCCAAATTTGAATCCGCGCGGCGAAGCGGAGCGCTCGTCGGTTCCCCGTCGCGCGGGGACTTGGCTCAGCGACTCGGAGCGGGCAGGACTGCGCGTGCGCGCGCCCCGAGGTACGGCGGTGGGTCTGTGCGGGGCTGTTGGGGGCGAAATAAAAAGGTTGGGGGGCTCACGGAGGTGATCTCCGGAATAGGTTCGCTATTCCCCCTCGGGTCCGTCGCCGCCTTTGGGGCTATTTCCAACGAGGGCAGCATTTGCTCGCGGACATCATTAAGGATTAATTGTCAGGGGGTTTTTTTAGAGGGTGGGGGGAACAGAGGCAGCCGAGGTGGCCCGTCAGGGAAAGAGAAACCCAAAATCCCGACACGGAGAGGCTTTTCTGGGCTGCCCCGATCCCGCCCAAGCGCGCCAGCTTTGCAGCTTCACAGAACTCTTCGTCAGGGCGGCTTGAGGCTTCCCCGACCAGAAGTGTGGGACTTCAGCTCCCATCAGCCGCAGCCAGCATGGCCAATGGGCAGGGGGGACTAGAGGTGGCGGTCTGAAACATCTGGGGGGCACCAGGTTGGGGAAGGCTGGGATGGGTGCCCCCCCCCATATAGTGCCGAGAAGCACAAAGGGCGCAGGGAAGAGAATGGCGAGCATGGAGCGAGAGGAGAGGAGAGCCTTTTGCGAGTGAGGGCTGCCTAGCGAAACACAATAACGGGCTCCGAGCTCGCCTTCTTGTGATACAAGCTTCTGTGGGTGTCCAGACACAATCCGGATCGGGCTGCGGGTCCACGAAAGCTCGTGCCGGGCTTCTGCAACCTGATGTGTTGGACTACAAGGCCCACCACTCCCGGCCAGCATGCTCAGCAAAGTTTGGTGGCAGTTGTGTTCCAGGGCGCTTGGCTCGGGTGCAGAGTGCCTTGTTTATTTTAAATATTTCCTGGCTGCTTTCCGGGCAGGAGCCTTCCCAAGAGGGCTTCCGAAAATGAAATAGGCGGACACCATGTCATAAAAGCAGCAATCTTAAAAAATAATAGCAGTCTGAAACATATGCTTGCATACCTATATAATCAGGGGGAAGACTAGTGTAAACAAGCAGGAAAACTCTGAAAACAGCCTGCGGTGTTGGGGCCTCCATGGCAACCCGTTCCAGGAATTAAGGGTTTAAACATTTTCATATCTGATGCCAAGCACCTTTATTTGTATTTTATCTGTATTTGAATTGATTTTGTTCTATGGATTTTAGGGGCTGTAATGTTTTCAGATGTATAATTAATTTTAAAATGGTTTTTAATTTGATTGCGAGCCGCCTGGAGATGCTATGGTGCAATAGGCTATTTATAACATGCAAATGTTATAAATAAATAAAGTGATGCAGGAAGCAGTCCAGATCTCACCTAATGGCCAGCCGAGGGGTAATAGGAAGCAGCGAAAAGGCCGATGGTACAGAAATGGTCTCAGAATTGTACTGTGTTGGGGATACGCCCTGTCCAAAGCCCTGTTGTTTCCCCAACATAACTATGGCCTGGAGTGATTTAGTCAATCTTCCTTATTGCTGAAAGAGAAATAGAAAATGCCTTTTTCTGCTGCCTGCAGCAGCACAACTGGACGATGGCTGTGGGGGGCAGTCCATCTTTATTTATGTATTTAACGTTTTTATATGCCGTCCCAATACTAAAAGTCTCTGGGCAGCTTACAAAAAACAAAGCAACCATATACCACCATATACCATCTGTGAGTCTCTGACTCCCAGTGTCAGTGAGAGTTTTGAATGATCTGCCCCGTGATGGTGGGAGAGAACCTTGGTGCAGAGAGTGTGTGTGCACTATTGAAACCCTTTTGTTGCTGGCTGTCAGAAAATCCCGGAATCTCAATTTGAGAAGAGGAAATAAAACTCGGGTTCGTGGGAAAGATCAAGCGTACAGACCATCTTGGCTTTATTGCATTACCCAGGTTCCCCGTGGGTCCATACTCACGATAATGCATTACTGGGCAGGCAGAGGTAAACTCTGCTGCAAAGCTTCAATACCATTGCAGGGTATTTTATAGGTACACAAGTACAGGGCAATTGATGGCAGAATGCAGACATTACAATAAGGTTCTGAGGTCATCACATCCAGAACAGATAAAGGAATGTCAGTCAATCATACAGAGACAATGAGATTACAATATTTCTAATTGCCTGTATTGACACTGTAGTTGAGTAACTTGAACCCATCTCCAGGTCTGCTTAGACATGTAAATTCAAGCTACTGAGAAACTTCATGATAAGCTCAGACCCCTATCTCCACTCTAGACATTCTGAATGACCAGGGCACATGCAGCCCTCTGGGCTAGGAAGATACTTCCTGGCAAACTGAATTCCAATGCCATTTTAAACAGTGACTTAGCTTGGTTTTGAGAAGGAGTACAGGATTTGATCCCACAATGCAAAAGCACACAGAAGTAATGCTTTTCAGGCAGGATTTATCCAAATTTTCCCAACATGGCGAACAAAAGGGTGGAATTGGGGTGTTGCTCTTCCTGGTTAGAAGCTCCCCAGAGGCCACCATGGGAGACAGGGGGCTTGAACTGACACAAGGAGGGCCGTCCGGGTCCATCCAGTCCAGCATCCTGTTCACACAGTGGCCCACCCGCTGCCTGCCGAAAACCCACAGGAGCACAACAGCTAGCTTAGACCGATCAAGTGGGACTCGGCCTGATATATTCTCCCTTTGCGGCAAAATCGTTGCAAAGAATAGCAGCGCTAAGTATTGAAATCACATGCTTTGGCCTTTTTCAGAATCACTCCCCAGGGCTACCGCGCACTCTTTTTCTTCGCTTGCTATACAGAGCGTGTTCTGTTGGTAATAGTCCTTTTTTATTTCTGGTTGAAATGGTAGGGATAATGAATGCTATTCTCGCCCCATAGGCAATAAAACCCTAAAAAGCAAATTCCAGCAGGAGAGCCATTGTTAGTCATTATAATAAAACAAAGAGCATCACAAATGTTTTGTGGCAGAGTATGGCCTGCTTTGTACATAATGACAACCCATCCCTGTAAAAAGCGGTGGGTTGTCAGAGGACACGCTGCCCACTACACTTCTGCCTAATTTTCTTCGCCCACAGCCCATAATCAACTCTTCTGTACGTTCATAGACTAGTAGAGTTGGAGGGGGCCAGAAGCCATTGGGTCCAACCCCCTGCTGCTGCAGGACAAGTTGTGGAACATGATGTGCAAGCATGCGCCGTTCATGGGCCAAAGCTCCGTCAACCCAACCACAGACCGTGGTTACCCACTGAGTTGTTCAGCCCCGAGACACCCTGACATCATACTGCACCACCTGCAAGGGCTGCCACTGATGCAGACGGCACCTAACGCCAGCCTGTCCCGGACAGTCCATGTTGCTAAACCATTACACGGAAACAGCCCTGCCTGCTGCAGTGCGCTCCCGTTTATTCTGTGCATCTATAAGGGGCCTTCACTGTATGTAGAGAGAGAAAGTGTGTGTGTGTGTGTGTGTGTGTGTGTATGTGTTCAAAGGGATGGGGAAGGACCTGATCGAGTGTGGTGTTGGGCTGAGGTTCTGGAGATCCACAGCCTAGTCTTCACTTGGCCATGAAGCTCACTGCGGAACTTTGCACTGGTCACTGGCTCTTATCCTAACCTACCTCAGATGGTGGTTGCAGGATGCAATGGAGAGGAGGAAATCCTTGCGAGCCACCTTGGGTTCCTTGCAAGAGATATAGGTGGGGTATAGATATAAAATAACCACAATAATCCTTTATGGTTCTCACACCTGCTTTTAATAGAGGAAATTGGCTGGAGGTGCCCTGGTCTTTACTTTTACCCTTACAATATTGTATTCCAATATTTCATGAATGTATATACTAAAGAAGGTAGATTAGCAGTGGAAATGTGCGCAGAGGGAGAACAAAATCTATAATATAAAATGTTTCTCCCCTCACTTTTATCTAGAAAAAACGAAATGGCTACAAACTTTGCTACTCGGTACAAAAAGGATCTGAGTACCCAGACCCTCAGGACAAAACTTGCCTCCCGAAAGTCTATCAGCCAGAAGGAGAGCAGGCACAATGAGTTCAATAAGGGCAGGCAGCTCGGCCTGCTTGATGTCAATACTCAGGCATCCAGAGGCAAGGAATTTTCTCTCCCGGAAGATTCGGGTGAAGGATACTTGCCAAAGAACAAGGCAAAGCCAGGTAAGTAAATGCATGTGACTAATGTTTAACCAAGTATTTGTTTTTAGGCTTTGCCAAGGTAGCCCTCCCGAAATCCAAGGAATTGCCGAGTTAACCTATGTTTTAAAAGACTTGGATTTCACAATTCATTCTGCATTTGAGAACGAGCCATACTGAGAACAGTGCGATGTTCTCAAGCAAGCATACCTATCTAGTTCAGTCTAATGTTAATCCTACTTGAAGCAAAACTTTCCAAATTACTAGGACTTAAATTAGTCTAGTAGAAGGCCAGATCCTGAAGATGAAACTCAACTCCTTTGGCCACCTAATGAGAAGGAAGGACTCCCTGGAGAAGAGCCTGATGCTGGGAACAATAGATGGCAAAAGAAAAAGGGGGCGGCAGAGGATGAGGGGGCTGGATGGAGTCACTGAAGCAGTTGGCGTGAGCTTAAGTGGACTCCGGGGGATGGTGGAGGACAGGAGGGCCTGGAGGAATGTTGTCCATGGGGTCGTGATGGGTCGGACACGACTTTGCGACCAACAACAACAACAAAATTAGTCTAAAAGCGAGCCACTGAATTTTAGAGTTGGAAGTGTCCTGGGAGATCTCTAGTTTATCCTCTGCTCAGTGCAGGATGCAAGCACAGCTACCTCGAGCAATGGCTGTCCAGGAAAGGAAGGCCTGCTAGCTCTGGAGGCAGCCATAAGAATCTGAGAGATCCCAAGCAGGATCATACTGAAGGTCCGTCCAGTCCAGTACTCTGTACACATGGTGGCAAACCAACTGCCCACAGGATCCCTCCAGCAGGACGGGTGCAAGGCCTCCTCCTGCCCAGCTCCTCCGCGACTGGCGAAGGGGGCCGCACATGGCCAGCAAGGCTAGTAGCCATTGTTGGCCCCCTCCTCTTCCAGGAATCTCCGGCATCCTTTTAAAGCCATCCTCATGGGTGGGCACCACCACTTGTTTCTTACCATTAGGAAACATCTCCTAATACCGAGCTGAAATTTGCTTCCTTGGGGCTTCCATCCCATTAATTCTAGTCCTGCTATCTGGAGCGAGAAAGAACCGGCCCACTCTAGCTTGGTGTGACAGTCCTTCAGATATTTACGGATGGCTTTCATGTCTGTCCTTAACCTCCTCCTCTCCAGGTTAGGCATACCAAACTCTTTCAACTGGTCCTCACAGAACTTGGTTCCAGACCCCTCTCCACCCTTGTTGCCATCTCCTTTTTAAATGTCTTTAGTGTCAACTTCATTAAAATGTAGCAGCCAAAGCAGATATGTTTGCTTTGGGTGCTCCAACTGTATTTTATTGTATTAGTGATGTTTGTTTATTTATTTGTAAGCTGCCACGAGGCTTAGGCGAATGGGGCGACATATAAGTCTGCTAAATAAATAAACAAACAAATTTGTTCTGTGATACAGATGTGCAGCACAGAAACAAGTATATCTGTTACTTCCTATGATCCAAAAGGTATGCTTAAATAAATGTAGCCTAGGACTGTGTTGACTAAATGAAGTTCAACACAGATAAATGTAAAATCCTACATCTTGGATTCAGCCCAGTGGTGCAAAACTGTCAAAAAAAGCTTTGAATTTTGATTCTGCCTTTGAAGGTATTAAACTTTCCATCTCCATGTCCTTTGTACTTAGACGGAAAGGACTGAGCTGTTTGTTCGGGTTAAGTCATTATTGATGAGACTTATTTTTACACACAGGCCAATACTCAAACACCACAGTTAAGACGCGTGGACAAGAGCGGATGGAAATGCTACAGCGTTACAAAGCTGAAAAAGAGCTTCGTAAGTTAAAGGAGCAGAGGGAGAAACCTATATTCAGATGTGGGCGATTCAAACCAGAGGACCCTGTCTTCGTTCCAAAACCATCTCAGATTCCTGTACTAAGCAAGCCGAAGGAGAAGGTCAGTAAAGCAGGAAGGTTTCGTTCTTACGCATAACTGTTCTGTGTTCTTTTCCCCTGTGATTTCACTAGGGCCCAGTTCATGCGTATTTGGAAACCCATCTGTGCTGCAATTCCTCCCTCCCTCTTATCTTTATCCAAATCAGAATTGGAAGCTCCGGTTTCAGGGGGGTCTTCCATCCTGGTTTGGAGGCCAGTCTTGGCATGGATGAACCTGAAACAGGCGAGCCAAATGGTGAGGAGGGAGCACATGAGCAGAAGGCCCATTTATTGGCAGCTGTTGCATCTGAACTGGCCATAATGCTCGCTCAAGTGCTTCCATTAAATCAAGGGTAGTTTCTCAGGCCAACTGGTTCGGAATGAAACAGCTGACTAGGAGAAGAAAATAGGTTTTCCTTTCATTCATTCCTGTTCTTCATCAGAAGGAAAACAAATAGCGAAAGTAAGCTTCGGATCTGTCTTGCCTTCTTCCAGATTGCCTCCAAGTAAACAAATATATTAGCCAGAACAAATTTAAGCAAGCCACTCTGCCCTGGCTTGCTGGCTATCAAAAGCTGAAGCCTTACCAAGCTTGGAGGCAGCTCCTTCTCCACACTCGGCAAATTCACCTCCTTCCTCTGATGCGGTCAGGAAGAAATGCACATGGAGGGCATGTCGTGAGCGGAGCCGGCTGGTGCTGGAGGTCAGACTAGATGGCCCGGGAGGTCCCTTCTGACTCGCTCTGTTTCTATGTTTCTAAATCCAGTATTAGAAGGTTGCCTTTCTTTTCCTAGTTCTCTCCTTCTGAAGTAGGACTTGTGCATTCACTTATTTAGGAATGAGTTTAGCAATGCACTTTCTACACGCGGTGGATTGTGTTAGGAATTTTGTCATGGATGATCTTTGTGCCATGCTGGGTAGCTGCACAAATGCAGTGCCATGAATATTTTCCTGCATTGCTGCAATGCCACAGTCCCTGAAGCTATTTAATGTAATGGCTCTTGATGCAATAAACTTATCTAGGTGGGGCCTCGCACAGGAGATAGAAACATGTACTTAGTACATTTTGAAATGTACCCCCAATAACAAAAGCTCTCTGTTGACTACAGCCAGGTAAAAAACCAAAATCCATTTTAAAACAGTTTAAATATTAAATGCAATTAAGTTCAGACATTTAAAAGAATAAAAGACAACTTAATACAAAACAAGAAACAGCACCCGGGTCAGTAAGCAACCTAGAATGAGGTCTCTAAAATGCCTGGATTCTACCCATGGCATTGTAAAGTCAGTGTCCCTGTGTTAAAGTGGAAAATTCAACTGGTGTGAAATAATTCCTTGTTTGGTCAATGCTGGATCAGGATCTGTTCACTATTTTTTTAAATGGGAGCTATTTTATAAGCAACTTTTTGGCAAAGCAGATTCCCAAACAATATAGTACAAGGCAATAATAACAGCCAAAGCTGTAAATGCCATGAAACCAAGCATCTGAAATAGCCATGTGACCATCCCTAATTGTTTAGGACATTACTCTAAACAGGGTGGGGAAAATTATGTTTCTTACTAAAACTGTAATATGTTACAGGTACAGATGGGCAATCTGTTGATCAATCTTGGGTCTTCTTCTAGGAAGCTGCACCACTAGTGCGGATGACAAGATCAAAGACAAAGACCCACCTGCAAGAGCCAGTCGGACCGCCAGCTAGACCACATCCTTCTGGAGTTGGTTCTACATATTTATTCTTGTTCATGTAGTTTAAATGTTAAATAAGGAAACGAGCTATCGGAGTTCTAGCAACTAACCTGTTCACCAGGGATGGGTAAATTTTCATTTGTGCCTGTTGGGGTGTGTTGTTTGATTTACACCAGCAGAAAGCACACCAATAAAGTACCACACTGGCCAATTTGTGTCCTGCATCCAACAGTTGCAACTGGCCGGTGTTTTTTCCCAGGTGCTTTGGAAAAGTCTCCATCCAAGGTCTCTCCTTCTTGTCTCTTGAACTCTTAATTCTCTCAAGTGAGATGGTGCGAGTAAAATGTCTGTAGTTAGAGGAAAAGTCCAAGAATCAGAAGCAAATCTCTCGATCACCTTTCCTGGATTCTTTCTTTCAAACTGACAATGGCCCATGCACCCGCTTGTGCTTTCCCGATACGTGGACATAGTTGCACAATCTTCTGGACCCTAGAACATAATTCTTTGAATATTTATTTCAAAGAATTATGCTGACTTGCGCACTTTTAAATGTCTTCATAGAATAGAGCTGTTAGAGCAGAAGGGTATAACATCTAGCAGCTTTTTGTGGAACTGACAATTGTATCTTGTATTGTTTGATCTGGTACTGGCAGCTGTCTTTAATACTCACTATTTAATGGTAATCATTTGAGGAAAGCACAGAAATAGCTTCTTCTGTCTTTAGTTGTGCGTAAGATAAGCAGAGAGCTTATCGAATATCTCGCTCTCTTCAAGGACAGACTTAAGGCTTTTGTACTTAAGGTAGCAAACCTGCACACACTTACCAAGAGTAGCTCCCATTGAACTCACTGACACTTTCTTCTGAGTAGACATGGCTCGGGCGGCACCACAAGGGAGTCATTGCCATGCTAGTGTCTGCTGGGTGTAAAAGGAAGGGATATGGAAGGAGTGTGTTGAAAGGTCTGTGTTGTTTCTCTCTGTAGATGATGCCTGTCCCCACCAGCAAGGGCAGCCATGCGCAAACAGGTCAGCAGAAACAGAATCGGATCTACTTGGATAAACCTCCCCACACAGAGAGCAAAGGTATAAATTGTTGGCAGTATCATCCAGTCCAGGGTTAACATGATACTTGGATGTTGTTTGTATGGGACTGTTTGCTGCTGTTTCAAGGGCCCAGAGTGGATTGCAACTAAGCCTATATTTCATTTAGAGCTTCACGGTTCCACTGGGGAACAGGTGTACCAACATCCCATAAGATACACCGGTGGTAACCTGGGTTAATTTTCGTGGCTTTGCATCTGAAAATCTCATACTTTTGGAAGTAGTAAGGAGAATTTTCAAGTCACTGCGGGTTCTAAAGAACTTGGCATCCCATCTCTTCTCCCTTTATAATTCTCTGCTATACTAAGAACTGCCTGACCTAGGCAGAGACAGATCCCAAGTGGGGATAGCGATTGGTGTGGAAATTGAAGGATCCTGAAGAGCCAAGCCCTTCTGGGCATCTTCTGGCCTCCTAGCTTACCACATGGGTCTCCAGATTCCTCATCTGCATTCATCAGCCTCCTCAACCTTGCGATTTTAAGCTCAGTTTTGGAAGGCAGGTCCTCTTCTTTTGCTCATGCCTCGTAACGCTTGCACTCATTCCAAATCTGCCTTCATTTCTTTGTGCTGAGGAAAGGAACAACTTTGGGTCCCCTTGTTTATTGCTGTTACGTGCTTTGGAAAGAAGCTTGCTGGGTAAGCTCCTGCCAAAGAAACGGCTTGGCACTCTGGAGATCTGAGTTCAGCAGGTGCAAAGCACTGTGGCTGTATTTGGAAGCGGTTGCATTTTTTATAACGTGAAGGCAACAGACAACACCCACATAAATAAACTCCGTGGCTCCTGCCGACAGCACCTGTCCAGTGAGCAGGGCTCTGTGCCACGATGCCACACATGGACTGACAAAGCTGCTCACCAGCCTCTGGTGGCACCAAAATCTTCGATCTTGGGGAGGAAGGCTGCCCAAGATTCAGGTGCACTAGTGAAATCGGGCTGCTAGAAATACCTGGAGTGGACTTTGGGGAAGGATACCCGCGTTCTCTGCTTCTGAATGGTAATGGCGATTCGCTTTCTGGGAATACTTCATACCTAGTCAGGAGGATGAGGAGTTGCGGGGTGGAGGGGACAACACCTTGAATCTCTCCCTCTTCTCAGTGCATGTGCAGACCTCCTCACACGAGTCTCTTGCTTTTGTCCTCTGCGATTTCCTCTTCCCTTTGAATGCTGCATCCTTCCAGCCCCGGCCTCTGTCCCTCAGCCTGAGGAGAGATGCCAAATACCTCCCAGTCACCCTGCTCCTGTGCCGTTAACGTCTGATCACCAGAATGTGAAAGGTCTTGACAAGCATGGGACTTTCCCCCTCCTCTTTCAGAAAGGCAACCTGCAGGCTCCACAGCCACGCATGGGAGAACCACAAGAGCAGCGGCGCATTCCAAGACCAGGATACCGCAGGCATCACGACCTGCCGGCAATGCAAGTGAGTGAAGCAGGGAACAGCTCTGCTTGGGTAGCGATCAGCGCGGCTATAACTCGTCTTCATCTTAATTTCCCCCCAACTGTACTTTCCATATATTTCTGCCCCCTCTACTTTTATAAACATCTGGATGGGGCCTTCAAAGAAAACAACCCTGACACATCCTCCTTGGCTTTCATGTGAGTGGGGCAGAGAACAGGTTTGTTCTGAGTAACTCTTCCAGTAATGCCAGATTCATCCTGTTTTAGGTAATCTGCCCCAGAGAAGTGCAACACAGAAAGGAAAGCAGCCAAGAGGAGTCAGAAAGGAAGAAGCAACTGTAAGCTTTTTATCTTAACTTCTAAACATGCTTTTTCACATTACAGTCTCTTTAAGAACAGCCCTGTATGATAGACAGGTGTTGTCTCATATTTATTTATTTATGTAAAACTTTTGTATACTGCCCAATTGTGCCATAGCACCTCTGGGCAGCCCACAGTCACAAGATAAAACAAAATAAAAAACCAACTACAACATATTAAAATACAATATCAACAAAATACAGACAAAAATACAAAACAAAGATCAAGTGGCATTAACTATTAAACATTTTTAAAGGCTACTAGCAAGGGGGAAGGTCGAGAATTTGGGTTGCCAAAAGCCGCCTAGATTTGGGGAATTTCCTGGCTGTCTGTTCTTAGCACTCAGCTATTCCAGCTCTCTGTTCATCTGTATTTCTAGGCTGGTGATGGTGGAAGAAGAAACATCCTTCAGTGGAAGTGTTTTGAGCGAGTGACTGTAGAATGCAACTACTCCTTATCAGCTGGAAAAGTGGCGGACAACTTTAAACACAAACCTCTGTGCTCTCTTAACAGGCATCGCCCAGTGTGAAAGACAGGGCTCCTGCAGAGCCAGAGAAAGGAAAGGCAAAACTTCAGCTTGCTGCTGAAGTGGAACAGGATGTGGCCTTCATTGAGAAGGAAAACCTGCCAGTGTCTCCCATCCTGGCTTCTGTCCCACCCAGGAGGACGCGGTCATTTGCCCCTCAGAACTTTGTGTTTAAGCCCCTGGAGGGGTTGAGCACCTACAGGGTTAAACCGATGAGCCCTTCCAGGGCAGATGTGTTCTTATCACCCCATCTCTTCTGGAGCCCCATGCAGACCAACAAGTAAGCCCTCGCCACTTAGCCTTTCCTGTACAATGTCTTAGATTAGTACAGCTCCCTAATTCACTCCAACTGTTTGAATTTGGGAGATGGTATTGATGCAGGCCAAGGAGTGGACTCAAAAACTCAGAGTCTGTTTCCTACTAGTCAAGATGCTGTCAAAAAGGGATGATTTATTTATTTTTATTTTATTTATTAGAACATTTCTATGCCGCCCCTTGCCGAAGCCTCAGGGCGGCTTACAACACAATAAAATACAATACAGTACAAAAATAACAATATAAAATTAAAGTTAACAATATAAAATAAATAAAAAATATAAAAGAAGTTAGAAAAGAAAAGAAGCTGTATTCTTAAGATCAAGAAGCTGTATTCTCACCCAGCTCCAGTGCCTCCCCTGCTGTCCATCTGTCCTGCATGCGCCTGCCTGCCTGCTTGCTGAGAGTAATGTAGTTAAGGGAAATTGAGCTGTCAAAACGCTGCCTGGCCTTAGCCATTCAGCGGCATCTTTCGTCTGAATTATGGATTACTGTTCTTCCTAGTGAAGTCCTTGAAGAAGGTGCAGAAGAATCTGAGCTGCAGGACTGCAACCAAAAAACACAGCTCTCCCCTCTCCCCGAGGTGACAAGAGAAGACTTTCCAGAGCATCCGTCTTCACTGGGATCTGTGGAAGTCAAGGCAGGTGAGCCCAAAAGAGGGTTTTGTAATCTTACACATGTTGAACTTACCTGGTTATTAGTTAAGAGGCTGGTGAGTCTTTACAGCGCTTCAGTTGATGGAGAGCTCAGTGCAGCCTGAAGTTCCTCTAGCACAGAGGAGAGTTGTGCAGGTTTCTCTTTCTTCCCAGAAGGGATGCCTCCCGAGACGAGGGACACTGCGCCGGCCGAGGAGGAGAGCGGCCGGCGGTGTGCAGACCTGCCAGCGACAGCCCCGCCAGACCCCACAGCGGAGCTGCAGCACGGCGTGCCCTACTTCAGGTGGGTGCAGCGAGGCTGGTGGGCCACCTGGCTGAGCACGTGCGCTTCTTGCGTAGCAGAACACCAACCCGTTTGCCCATCGCACGGCACCGGAAACCCTTGGGGGGCCGTCACGTCCTCACCCAGACGATTTTCCGGGGGGGGGGGCTTGTTTGCGAGCCGCCAGCGCCCCTGACCACCCACTGGGTGCCGGGTTGTCACGTGCGCCGTTGGCTGTCCTGCCATCCAGGCCAGACTAGGGAGGCTGCTCCAGTCCCGTCGGATGCGGTGAGCCAGCTGCTGGGTGGGAGCGGCAGGAAGCTCCTCCTGAAACTGCGCTGACGAAAGCCGGGCCACAGGTGCCTGAACGACACAGCCGTCACTGGCGGGTTACCTTTTGGTGAGGGACAGCGGCAGAAATCCGGCTGAGCACCTGATTTCTGTTGGCCTTTCCGAGGTGCAAAGGAAAGCACGTTTGGCTACCCCAGACGTGGGGCCTTGCCTGGCCAATGGTCATGTGACCTCCTGCAGCTCAGTAACAGGCGCTGTACTTATAGCAGAATATTAGGAGGCCGCATATAGTTTTTGCTGCACACGCTGGAGTGCTGCCCGTGGGTCAGTGGACAACAGAAGCAAAGCAGTGCAACGGCCTCCTGCCTCACATGTAACCCCCTGTTGGCCATCTAATAAAACCTTTTCTGTCGCCCAGTATTTTAATCGTTAGTCTGTTTTAGTGGTGGGTTTATATTTTAACGGATGCTGGGCAATTGTAATTCTTACTCTTATTTTTATTTTTTGGACTAATGGGTGGAAACGGTCCCGAGACTTTTAAGTATGGGACGATATAGAAAAGATTTAAATAAAATAAGTAAATAAATCTCACTGTTCTCAGTGCTCTTCACCTTTTCCCATGAATCCCTGAGCCTCCCAGAAAGGAGATATCTGCACTCCCTTTTTATTTGTTCGTTTTCGTTTTTGCAAACAAGGACTTCTGGCAACTGTCAAAAGGTTTTAAAAAACAAATCAGCCATGCATGTGTGTATATGGGTCAGGGAAAGGTGTGCAGGTTATGCGGCCCTTGAGTGAGTGTGACAATGAGTGTGATGCAAGTAAATAGGCATAAAGAGCCCAGTCCGCTGCCATTCAAGCTAGAATCTCTTCCTAGGCGTGCAGAGTATATTTCCCATTGGTACCTTTGCTAGGTCAGTGGGCTGCACACAGTTCAAATACAGATCAGATGAATTGCTCCCATCCCCAGTCCTGGCCATCAGCTAAGTTTGCCCAGGCCAGCATCTTCCCTGTGGCCTCAGATACCAAAACGACGCTCACATCACTGAACTGTGTGCTTTACTTGCTTTTCAAGAAACATCCTTCAGTCTGAGACAGAGCGGCTGTCGTCATGTTGCCTCGAATGGGATGGAACAGCTGAAATGGATATCCCTGAGGATGGTAAGAGGAGAGATGCGAGGAGTCGTTGCAAAATTGCAGTCCAGGACAAAACAGTTTGCTTTGCTGCTTTGGCCATGGAGTTGGGATACTAAAAACACATTGGGTTTTAAAGACAGTGTTTGTCTTAGCATTATGTATGTTACAAAATATTGATTTCTTCAGCAAAAGATCTTGTCCGCACCACTGTTGGGCAAACCCGACTGCTGATAGCAGAGAGATTCAAGCAGTTTGAAGGACTGGTGGACAACTGTGAATTCAGACGTGGGGAAAAGGCAACTACCTGCACTGACCTGGCTGGATTCTGGGATATGGTGAACTTCCAAGTAAGATGTTGGTGTGTGGGGTTTCTCTCTTGCATTCAGGAAGCCCTTTCCATTCTTTCCACCTCTTATTTACAGCCAAGACTGTCTGTGTTTCCCCTGAAACATCTTGCTTCTGTGTCAAGGTTGCTCTGATTCTGTAGCCTGATTAAAATGCAGGTTAGCAGAATTGTCCTGGACAGGGGAAATGTGCCATTTTTGGAGACGGTGAGCAATGTCCAAAGTTTGCTCTGTTTCCGGCAAACAGTGCTTCTCGGCTACCGCATGTGCACTTCTCTGGCTTCTGGGGAACTGTTGATCTCTGCCCTCAAAACTCCCACAAAGCAAGGTGTGAGGAATCCTCTCTGGGGGTGGGAAGGCATTGGAGTTGCTCAGCTCAGCTCCCCGGACTCCGGCCCACTTTCTCTCTGCCCTAAGTCCACCTCATACCAAGCACTTGCACAGGTGTTTGGCAGGAAGCGAGTCCATGGAGCCAGCCTGCACACGTGCCACCCACACCCCCACCGTGCAAGCAGAGGTCTGCCTCTGTGCGTCTGTTTTGTGGGCTTTGCGTCCTTTGTGCAAAGGAACTGCTCTCCTAAGCGTGTGTAGACCTGATCTCGGCTCGGCTCTCTTGCTGGCCAGGGCTGCATGCAGGAAAGAAGTTCAGCGACCACAAGAGAACTGGATTCTGGTCCGATCTTTGCATCCCTCGCCATCCTACTTTGGCAAGAGTATGGGCTAGAAGCGTGCTTTATTCAAATAAAGGCTGCAATTCTCCATGTTACGTATTTGGCACCCAGTACTGAGTTCTTCACCTGTGCAGAACCATTTATAGGAGGGGTGTCCAACCTTTTGGCTTCTCTGGGCCACACTGGAAGAAGAAAAATTATCTTGGGCCGCACATTAAATACACAAACACTAATGAAAGCTGATAAGCGAAAAAAAAATAATTTTCGTGCATCATTTTCGTGAAACCCACCAGTACAGACAAGCAGAAACATCCTCACATAATAATCCTAATTATGCGGCACCTCATTCAGAGAGTCTTTTAACATTGTTGAGCAAGTTCCAAGTTTGCAATCACTGATATAGAAAATGAACATATCTAAGTAATAAAACTTCACTGAATTTTTGATATTTTTTACTATAAAAGCAAAAGAAAAGAGGCCAACATAAAACTAGTGGGAGATTTGACATTGTATTTGAGAAACTAATGCATCAGTATCTGGTTCAATGGAAGCAGCTGCAATTTTCAGTGAGTTCTCAAGGTGCTCATCCGATATTTTGGCTCTAATTTTTACTCTTAGTGTTCTTCATTCTTGAAATTAGTTGCTCACAAATGTAGATTCTACCAAAAAGCAAAAACATGAATAAGACATGATTCTGAAGCGAGGGATATTTGTCTCTGGGAGGACAAATATCCCTATAAAAGTCCATGATCAATTTTTTCTTTAAGCTGAATGTTAGATTGCAGCTCTATGCATTCCATTTGAAAACTGGCTGGTAGGATATTTATATTGACTGAAAATGGAGTCTCAATTATATCAAAATAGTTATTATTTTCCTGGAAATCTTGAAATCTGTTTTCAAATTCTTGTATCAAATTGAAAAGCAAGGTTGCATATTTTTCGCTGTTCACAGGACTGCATTTAGCCAATGTGTCGAAATGTATAAAAGCGTTTGTGACGGTAGGTTGAAATATTGATAATAGCTGCATTTCACTTGCCAAGTCACCACGAGCCCATGTAACATCTGTCGGTGTCAATTCGACTGCCTGCGCTTGGAAGGTAACACACTGGACGCCACACACCGCTGTAAAACTGAAGCCACGCATGTATACAAATAGCGAGAGCATACATACATTTATTTTACGTGATTTTGCATCATGACGTCCACAAAGTTTATGCTTGAGAACTGTGTGATCAAACTACCAAAACAAATCCCAAAAAATTCATAATATTCTAAGCAAGTTTAGGATTTTGTGTTGGGCCGCAGTCATAGCCATCCTGGGCTGCGCGTGGGCTTGACACCCCTGATCTATAGCATGGTGGGATATGATCCTGACTTGCACTACAGGCGACTTTGAAGCCATGTCTCTGATCTAGACTGGTCTGCTCCACGTGGGGCTGTCCCTGATGGCAGAGTCCCACATACATTTTCTCAACTTGCGGTTTTCTAAAGAAAGCAATCTTTTCTGGGCAAATGTGCGAAGAATGCATGATTGCTGTGGATGCGTCCTGTTTTCCACTTTTCCCCCTAATAAATGCAACTTTGGGAAGCTGAACTCTCTGCGACTTCTTGCCATTGTGGAAGAGATTCCAAGCCAGCACGCTTGCGCACTTCTAAGCTTTTGGTCTTGCTTAGAAGGAGTGCTACCAAGTTAAGATCCTTGCTCTGGCTCACTTTAAAGACTAGCAGCTGTTCCTTTTCCTCCTCATAGGTAGAAGATGTCAACAAAAAATTTGAGAACTTGAGGAAACTTCAGATGAATGGCTGGCAAATAGAGGAGGACGTCCAGTCCAGGAGACCTGCCAAGGTATGAGAGGCTTCTGTCATTTAGCCACTGGCCCCACATCTCATAGGGCACATAGTCAGGAAGACTGTGCGACGCGTCGCCCGACCCATGAATGAAAGTGCTTTCCATGATGTCCCTGCTCCGCTGTTCCAAATTCAAGGCCGTGACTTCCTGTAGGGAGTTTATCCATCTCTTCCTGGGACTTCCGTTGCTTCTGCCTTCACCTTTCCCTAGCGTGACTGTCTCCTCCTCTGTTCTGCCAAGTGCCATGCGCAGCATCTCCCTTCTTAAGCACTCATGTTCCCCTCAGAAGCACTCAGAGCCAGCTCCTCTCTCCACAGTCACCCAGTGCTTGGCTTTTGGCAAAGTCCAGACCTTCCTCTTTCTACCTCCACCCCACTGCTTTTCCTGTAATAAGGACCAGACGTTTGCTTCTTTGGAAAATACTCCTTTCATCTTTGGGATCCAGATAAGAGCTTCCAGAATCGACCATGTAATTGGATAGTGCTACTGTAATTCTGTCTCTTTCATCCTCTCACACCTGTGCGCCTCATTCCACTCCAATATGAACAACGTTACGGGTCTGTTAGAAGAATTGTTGATCCTGTATACATGAAATGCTTTGAGCCCTTGGTCTGTTCTGGAGAAGAGAACAGGCGGCCATTGCTGGCAAATGGATGTGGGTGGAGTCCCCCCGAAACAAGTAGATATTAGACTCTCCCTTTGTGTTCCTCTTAGAATTCCGTGCTTTAGAAAGTGTGTGCGTGGTTGTGAAATCCTTTCACGCCGTTTCCAAGCCTTTTTTCTACCACATGTCCAGAAGGCAGGGTGGAGCTGATATCCCTTTGCTCTGAAAGGGAGCGTGCATAGCATTTTCTGAATGTTCAGAACTCTTAATCTGGGCTGGTAGCCATCCAGACGCTGTCGAGCTGCCCAGTGTGACCCTCGCCAAGGCGGGAGTCGAACTGGTGAATTCCCAGCTCTTGCCAGCAGCTGCTGTTCCACATAAGCTCCCCCAGAGCAAGGTTGGGAACTTTGGGAGGCCCTGTTATAAATCCGGGGCCATGCACCACCCGGATGTCAGCAGAGGTCGTGTTCCCGCTGCCCCAGAACTCTTGGGAGGACCAATCCTGTCTTTGCTTTTGACTTTCAGAAGAAGCCGGCCCTTCAAAGGGCAGTCAAAGCCCGGGACGGCTCTGCTGAAAGGACAGCAGCCCGGAAGCGCATTGCTGCTATAAAGGCAGCCCTGAAGAACAAGATGAAGCAGGACGGGCTGGTGAAAGAGGCTGCAGAGCAAGTGGGGCCAACGGAAGCAGAAAAAATTACGTTCGACGGCGGCTTCTTCCAGATCGAATCTCCTGCCAAACCTTTCCCAGGTCAGCTGAGTGCTCTTCCCTTTGTGCAAGATGTTGCAGGAGGCCGTGTGTGCTCCAGTCAATGCGCTTCAGTTCCTTTGAGCTCTCTGCGGGAGTAGCAGTCCTCTCTCTTGAGAGCAAAGTCCTGCTTGGAAAACTGGAAGGAGTTCTCTTCCCTTTTGTCACCACAAATCTTTGATATTCATGCTGGGCTAAACAGGAAGAACTCTCTGTTCTGTGAACACGCACGTGTCTGTGCCATACAATCAAAAATTTTCTGAAACTACTCCAGAAGTCTCTTGAAACAAAGCTCTTGCCAAACATTTTCTGAGCAGTTGAGGCAGCCGGACCGCAGCAAGGAGGGGAATTTCACTAATGTTGTTTTTGTATCCCAAGCTACTTGGAACACAGCATTCTTGAGGGGCAGTTAAGTAAATTAAACATAAAGCTTTCTTGCTGTGTCCTTCGTTGCCGGGCCACCAGTGGCCACGGCACATGGAGCAAGTCCTCTGCAGAAGTTGTAAGGGGGAGAGGATATGCGGCTGTTTGAGGGCTCTGGAAGGGCCAGCCAAGCACTCCGCACCACTGCAGATGCTACCGGGCCACTTGGATGGGCGGGAAGAGACCAAGGCCGTTCTTCAGTGCTCCTCGAGAGAAGTGACCCTCTGATGCTGGGAGGAAGATATAGCCTCTCTCTCGTCCTCTCCAGAAAATTATTTAAAATTCCGTCTTAAAGCCATCCAGTTTATACCAACATTAAATGCCTCCCGCCCCCCGCTCCCCTGGGGTTTGGAATCGTTTAATTTAGCACCTTTCCTGAGTTTTTGTGAATACAGTGTTCTCCACTCCTTCAGCTGCTGTCCAAAATGGGCGTGTCCAGTTTTGCACACCTGTTGGAGAGACTGAAGTCGGCGTTCCCGCACGTGCCCAGATAGAAGCAGCTGCTTCAGGTTTGGGAGCACGGGGCGATGTTTGTGAAATCGTACTCTCTTTGGGCATTAGTGCTGTATTAATCCGATGCTGTATCTCTCCCCCTCCCCCAGGCCGAACCCCAGCAACTGCCAGCAGGACCTCCCGACGGACATCCAGGCAGGCAGCCCCAAGATCCGCCACGAAAGCCTTGCTGCAGAGCTGTGCAGACACCTGCGTCATCCAGCTGGGCCTGCCAGCCGCATCCCAAGCCCTTCTGCCTCTGCCTGACCTGAACGCACTCTGGGGCTCTGCCGGGTCTGACCCGCCCAGGTCCCTCTCCAAGCAAAGGTATGCCACTGGCCTGCGGCAGGTGCAGAGAAGACTGTCCGTGTCGGAGCGGGCCACCTGAGCCCCTCGCCCAGCTAGCCATGGCATCGGAAGCACAGCTAGCTGCTCCAGGTCAGACCAAGGACCTGCCCAGCGCAGCCTGCCGTCTCCCACAGGAACGCGCTGGCTGTGCTCAGGCATTCCCGTGCGGCCCCAAAAGTGGCACCTGCCCCCTGGAATCCAAGGGCTGCTTCCCCTCTGCTCAGAGGCTCCCTGTGGCACTCGGAGTGGACGCATGCGGGTGCCCTTTGTCGTATGCTTGCCTGAGCTGATGCACAGCCCTTCTTTGCTGACCCAGAAGAAAGGATCTGGGGCTGCTTCGTTATTTTATGTGGAGCTTTCCCCACGACACGGAGCCCCTGCCAAACCCCCGGCCCCTCTGTCCTGCTTAGTAGCTCTCCTGCCTGCTCCTGAATCGCAGCTCCATCCAGCAGCAATGCCTGGCCCAGTGTCGCTTGGCCCTGCTGGCAGCTCAAATTGCGCCACCTCAGCCTCTTCTCGGGCTGAATTCAGGGTCTTGCGGTGTTTTCTACTGGCCCTGGAAGGAATGCAGTAGGAGCAGTTATGGCTAACTGCCTGCCTGCCCTGGAAAAAGGAGCTCGTCGTTCTGCCGCTGTCCCAGTGGGCGACACCATCCTTGTGCCAATTCGGACCATGCATCTGGCCCTCAGGGTAGTCTTTGCAACGTGCTGGTTGTTGACTAAGAGGGAGGGTTTCGGAAGCTCTAGTAAATAACCTCTCCTCTCCTTCACAAATGCACCCCTTCCCCACGGTTTCGCTCTGGGAAAGCCAGATGGTGGATGTGTGCTCTCTTTCCTTTTCCCCCAGTGACATCCGGACTGCAGAGGACTCTCACGCCATAGCAGCAGGGCCAGCGGAAGAAGCTGTCGTAAGTGCTAGTGTCTTCAAATGCATGATTGTCCGTAAGATCAGAGACCTGCGTTGCTCCCAGAAGGTGGTTCCCAAACCAGTCAGTCCAAGTTACAAGTAAAAGGATTTATAGTAAACCATAGGAAGAGTTTCTGGGCAGTACAAATTCTTCTTCGTGGTCTGTGCATCACATGCTTGGGCTCTGTGCTGCATGGAGCTCCAGGCAGGTGCAGAGCCCATGAGTGTGAACGCACAGGTGGCCTCCCGAAGGAGGACAGGCACAGGTGAGCGGCCTGCCTTTCCTCAACTACGACGGAAGTGGTAGGCTCTCCTTCGTTGCTGAGTGCTTTTCTGTTGCAGATTCTGAAGCAGTGGAATTTCTATGAGCAGCTTTTTAAAACTGCATAGTTCACAGACTCAGCTGTCTCAAGGAAATGCTTTCCAAGGCTCCGTGTGGCCATCCCATCAGGCTCTTCTAAGCCATCCCTTCTGAGGTTTAGATGAACCTTAAAGGCCGGCCACCACTTCTCTGTAATGCAAGGAATGGCCCGTTTCTGCTGTTTCTGCATGCTCGCGCTCTCTTCTCTGAATCCTAGGATACACAAATGATCGCCTGTCACAGGCAGTCATCCTCAAAAGATTTGGATGGCTTGGTCCCTGCCCGTCGTCAAGGGCTGGGAAATTCCAGTCTTGAAAAGGAGGAGCCAGAAATGGCGGAGGAGGTGTGCCAGACCACTGCAGTCCTGAACGACCGGGGCGTCTTGTGTGGTCCCAAGGAGGATTCCCACTCAGAAGGAATTTGCTCTCAGAGTGAAGGACCGCACACTCCAGAAAGTAAGCAAAACTGGTAGACTTACATCTTTACAGCATGATTGTCTGAGCAGTGCGGAGAGCTTCTGGCTGAGGGGCTCACATCCTGGGATCCCGAAGAGCAATGCAGGTGTGGGATTCCTGCAGCGGCCTGCGTCGCTCCGCTCCAGCAAAAGAAAAGGCAGGTTCACACTGTCCGACAAGCCTCCGTGTGTCTTGCCTCATTGTTGGGTCACAGGCTGCTCCATGCTCCCAACCCCCAACAAACCACGGCTGAGTAGCAACCCACAGTTCACACCCAAGAACAAACCGTGGCTTCTCTTTAAGGATAATTCATGGTGAACAAACCCCACTGAATGCATGACTTTATTTTTCAGGCCTCCTGGGTGACATCTCCTATGACAGTGGAATTCTTGACCACCAGGTATATTTGCTTGGAATTAAGCCAGTCATTTGCTACATCCCCTCGTGTGAGATTCGTTTCTTGTGGTTAATATAATGCCATGCTTTTGATTTTGCCAAGTGTGTGTGCGCGCGCATATGTATTACGGAGCGGGGAACTGGGGAGGAACAAGAATGGCAAGTTCCGATTTCTCCTCCCCAGAGCAACCCACATCAAATGCATCCCGTGGTGTTGCACAAGCAGAAACCGGACTGCCTCGCTGGCCCACAGAGCGGTTGGTGCCCGTCTCTTCTGCGTGGCCAGGCCGAGTTTTGCAGCGCTGCCGTGACAGCGACGTGCGCATGTGTCGGTTGAGATCTCAGATATGCTTGAGCTTTCGAGAGGGAGGGAGGGAGGGTGGGGGGGTTCTGGCTTCCCTTGGGCTGCTCAGCACGTAACCAGTTTGGTTGGTTTCAGGGAGCTGGTTGCTCTTCCTTGAGGCAGTCCCTTACTGGCTTCTGTGAAGAAAACCATGTGTGCGCATAGTTCCACAGGAGGCGTCACGCCCAGGGCCGAAAACCATTTTTGAAGTGCCTAATCCTGTTCAAACCGTGCCCTCTGCAGCTTGGGTATAACTGAGGTGTATCATGGACCAAAATAAGAGCTGGCCGGGTCATCGTGCATGGAAGGCACAAATTCAGATGGCAAGCACGGCTGCCTAAGCAGATCTTGAGGATTTTTGGCCTGCCAGGCCCTCCTTTCCAAGACTGGGTTTTCTACCAGCATAGAATTTTCTCAGGATATAACTCAACTGAAGTGTCCAGAATTCAAGGGTAATTGTGGGCTGGATCGTCCAACTGAATGGGAAACAGAGCTGGTAAAGCAGCTGAGGGGAGCAGGGGGCAGATACCAATGGTGTATGAACTTTTGTGGGTTCTTGGAAACATTGCCGGAAACTTTTGGAACTGGGTCACAAGTAAAGATTTCATTTGCACCTATTTCGTGCTGTCTGCAACTGGCTTTCTCCACCTTACGCCCCTTCTCTGCCATGCACACATGCATGGACAGGGGCCGTCCAGATGCTGAAGTCCCCCATGAAACTGCAGAGACTCCGTACCCCAAAGATCGCCCCCTTGGTTAGTGAGGCTTGGCAGGAGAGCTGTGCTGTCTGCTCTGGGGGGAGAGCTTCTGGCAGCACCGCAAAACAATTATTGGAGGGAGGAATTGTTTTGCGAGTTACTTTGGCTAGAATCTGTTGCAGGGTGTCCCTGAAAAGCATTTCCGGTCACTGAGAGAGCAGGGTTTCCTTTGGCTGCCAGGAGCCTCACCGTGCCCACTTCCTTATCGCCTCAAAGCTGACTCCAAACAGTCCCATTCAAAAGCTCTTCTCTGCCCCCAAGAGGACTGGAAACTTTGTTTGGTTCCAAAGGACAGCTGGGACCAAGTAGCGAATGAAGTGGTGGTCCTTTTGCCTTCCGATCTTGACGTGTTGTCTTGTTTCCAGCAGGGAATTCCGGAAACCAGCCTCTTCTTCACTCCCATCAGGAACGAAGCTGTGAAATCTACAGCAGACGCCACGTTCAATGACCTCATTGTGTTCTCTCCACTTCCTCCACTAGATGGGGAAAAATAAGGGGTGGCATTTATCCTGTCGGCTGCGGGTGCCTTGGGCTTGAGAAGGACCAAATCTGCACTGAGGAAGTGGGGTGGGTGAACTCTTTTTACGTTTATCATTTTGAGTTTCATTACCGGATTATTTCAGTGTTAAGGTCCGAGATGAGTATTTTAGCCAGAGGAGGGAGTGAAACTGTGTGGTAGAGAATGTGAGTGCTAGGCTCTTCTCGCACTTCTTTTAAAAATATCCTTTTAGAATACTTAAATGACAGTTTAAATGGAAAAAAATGTAATAAATAAAAATAAAACATCACCAAGAAAATGAGTCTGACTTAAATCATTAGTTTACATCTGCTTGGATCTGTTCCATAAACAGCGGTGCGGACCTGGCCGGTGCACTGTTCGTTTATCCCCATTTAGGCAGCTCCAGTCGAGCCCAGCAGTGTCACGCTCTGTGCCTCGCACACGGTTTTTAATGCCAGAGCGAATGTCCTCAAAATAGCTCTTCAATGGATGTCAGAAGCTGCATGGGACACCCTTTGGTCGGCTGTTCCAGCATCGCCCCGTTCCACTCTGCCGTAGGTCGCATCCCACCACTGCTGGCAGAGTGAGTGCCCCCCACCCCCGTGTGTGTCCAGATGCGGGAGGGGGGTGTGGTCCAGCCCATCAGGGGAGCACCAAGCCTGGGAACTCGTAGCCCCGGTCCTTGCGGCCTCGTCCTGCTCGAAGGCTGTTCGGCGGCTGTGGGGTGCAGATGGCTGCGAAGGACAGCTTGGCTGGCACAGAGGCTCGGCGTGGTCGCTGGCTGCCTGGGCTGATGGGCGGGCAGGCAGGAGGGCCCAGGGAAAGGGGTGCTCGGAGCGGGAGGCGAAGAGGAGGTACGTGTGGGCTAGAGGCGAGGTGAGGTGCTGCACTGCTTGGAGAGAACCAGGCCAGTTAAGCACCACGAAGGCAGAACTTTGCCTGGAGGCCCATTTCTCCTGAATGGGGACCGGGTGGCCTTCACCGTGGAGCTGACCACCCTCTCCCACAGGGGCTCTTCAGTTCGGTCTCAGGACCAGGCCCGGACCCCATGTCTCCAAACACTGCAATGGGCTGTGATTATGCTGCAGACCCCAAAGGCTGGTCAGGGATCTTGCCCTTCCAGCGGGTTTCATCCACCTGCACCGGCCCAGAGCTCCATGAGGCAACGGGGACCATCCCTAGAAGGTGGAGCGGGTAGAAGTGACGTGTTCTGCACTGTGGGACCGGCTGAGCCTGTGGCTAACATTGCAGGGCTTGCAGCTTGTGAAGGGTCGTTGGCGAGGCCCTTTTGTCCAGAAGCAACGGAGAGCCAGTGTGGTGCAGGGGTTCAGAGCCTGGGACTGGGACTCAGGCGACCCGGGTTCGAGTCCCCACTCAGCCATGGAGCCAGCTGGGTGACGGCCAGTCACTGACTCTCGGCCCAGCCTACCTCGCAGGGGTGTTGTTGTGGGGATAAGCTGGAGGAGAATGATGTACGCTGCCTTGAGCCCTTTGTAGGAAAAAGGCAGGGTATAAATTGGAAGAAAAAAAAGCCCACCCCTGCTCTAGGGCCGTAGCGGTGTAGCTTCTTGCCGCCCTGCGCCTGTTGCCACCGGCACCAGGAGAGCAAGGGGGCTCGGCAGGACTCATTTGGAGAATGTTCACGCTGCTGCCGCTCCCCCACTCCAAGTTCTAGGCTGCGATTTCCCTCCTGCCTGGACAACCCACCTTGTAATGTTGTACTAGGCAACCAGTTAGCTTGGGTGTGCACCGAATGTGTGTGCCCAGCATTGCACAGCCGGCACACAAGTTGTGTAGGGGGAAGGTATTCCCCGCAGTTTGGTGCTTTTATGCTAGAAGGCCAGGAAGAAGCCGTAAGTGCACAAATTTGGGCGTCGGAGAACCACCTCTTCCCATCCCAATGGTTCCTCTTAGGAATTAGCCAGGTTGCTGAATGCCAGGTCACCCCGTTGGCCCATCTAGCCTAGTTTTGTGCTCCTCAAGCAGAACAAGCCCTTTCCCAGCACCTGCTCCCTAATTGTTCAACACTTTCCCAGGGACTGCAGGCCTGGCCCACAAATGAAGAGCCCCTGGGGGGCTTGCACCCCTCGCCTTCCCAGGAGAACCACTGCGAGGGCGAAGGCCACTGAAGCTCCGTGGATCGGCCACAAAAGCAGCTGCTGCAGAGCGCTCCTTCCGCCCTCCCCTGCCTGAAGGGCCCCCGCAAGCCGCTTGACCACGGAACCGGCTGCCTGCACTTCGCTCTTGCTCGTCTTCCTCCTAGCCCCTTCTCCTCCTCGGCGTGTTTTCTCAATTGCAAGCCTGAGGCTGCTTTATTCTCCATCTCTGAATGCTCCAGGGGACATTTCTTGGCTGAAGAGTGGGGTGCAAACAACAGGTAAAACTGGAGATGTTTTGGATCCCCAAAAAAGCAAAAGCGACTCTCTGCCACGGACTCAGGGCCTGGCCTGCCCATTCATGCACAGGCTGGCAGTCCTTGTCCCCGGAGCAGAGCTCCTGAGTCGGGGACCCTCCGCAGGTTTCCAGGGGCCACAGCCAGCATGGCCACGGCTCGGCAGCTCTGGAAGCTGTGGCTCCAAGCAACTGAAGGGCACTGGATTGAGGACAGGGCTTCAAGATACGGACATGTTTTGGACCAGACTAGAGTATCCAGAAGAAATCGACACCATTTGCATGCAGGCACCTCTAGAATTTGCAACCTTCATTTCTGTGGGGTGAAGGGAAACTGAACTGGCAGATGTGCACAGCTGCATTCCAAATCTGCATCTTCAAACCCTCCCTTTTAACATTCCCACCCTTCTAGAACTACTCTTTATCCATAGAGATTGGAAACTTGCTTGAAATAAAAGTTGAGACTCTTCGGATGCTAAATTCCACAGCCCTGCATAGAATCCAGTGTATAATCCGAAAGGACAAGCCATTTCATGTACACGGTCCCACATTTTATTAATCTTTGCCTTGTGCTCCATCAGGATTCTTTAAAAAAGGAGAAGCAGCTGTTTTAAGCAAAAAGGGATTTGGGGATTGCAGGGGAGTTAGATCATGGCAAATGTGACATTGGAGAGGGTGACGTCTCCCATAATGGACAGCCGGGTGATCTGGTTTAGCTCCTTTATGCGATGGTTATACTGCAACAGGTGAGCGTCGTTGACCGCCACCTTCAATTGATCCTGTTCACACAGAATGAGGATCTGCAAAAGGATTAGATGTGGAATATTTTGAAAATACTGGAAACAATGGGGGCCAATAGAAAAATTAGTTTTATTATGTGCCTTGTTTGATACCTGCATAGACTGTGGAATGTGTTTTTTTTTGTGCGCATTTTGTATAATTTTTTTAAAAATAAAAAGACGCCAGGAGCACTTGTGCCAATAGGTGGCCAACGCCCAAATCACATCACACACTTCCATAAAAGAGCCAACTTCTGCTTAGTCCCACGACTAAGCTGCTATCACTGCCGAAAAAAGATCACTTTGCACATTCTTCAGAGCCTAGCCCAGGAGTCGGCAACCTTTAACACTGAAAGAGCCATTTGGACCCGTTTCCCACAGAAAAGAAAACACCGGGAGCCGCAGAACCCTTTTGACATCTAAAATGAGGATAACACTGCATATATCGTTTTTTACCTTAATGCTATGTATATCTTCATTATGATTTAGCTGCAGCTCTTGTTCAGTCACTAAAAACTGTTATTTTTAATCTTACATTATAAACTAGTAGAACTCCTTTCATATATTTTGACTAGGAGAACAGCTTCCTGCAGAGTCAAAGTCCATGCTAAAGGGCTGCATACATTAAACAGCAAACCCCGTAAGTTCGTCAGCAGTAAAAGCGAATGAATCTACCCACGTATCATTAAACGTTTGGTTTTCTTCAGAAACTTTTCTTCAATTTATCCATGGTTGGCCTATGGGAGGAGGGGGGAGTCACAGATACAGGTGTGTTTAGTGACTGATTAGCAGATAAACAGTCAAGTGCTGTGAATTGTGACAGGTCCCAATTTAACATTCAGCTTTTAACGTTCAGATGAAGGAGATTACATTGGGACAAAGAGAATCTTTTCAGCAGTAACATGAGCCTGCAGGAAGCTTGTTTAGCAGAGGAATGTACTTATCTAGCTGATTTGCCTAACTAGCTAGCAGCTGCTGCCTTCCTCAGTGGAGCTTCGAGCAGATCAGCGGCTGTGCCGGCAGGTGCGTGCTTTGAGCGACGGAGCCGCAGCAGAGGGGTTCAAGAGCCACGTGCGGCTCCGGAGCCACAGGTTGCCGACCCCTGGCCTAGGCTGAATCTAAAAAGTTGCACATCCAACACAGTTGTAGAGCAGGAAGTTGGGAGAAGGTTGCGACATTCTGCCCTGCAACTTGACTCCAACCTTCCCGTTCATTTTCACATGCATTCATTAATAGATACTGCTTATATTTTAAAATATCTATAAGCACTGAATAAATTTTACACTCATTTTACACCACGCATCTAAGCCACAAAAACCTACGTCTTAATAAAATGTGCTGGTCCCGAGGGTACCACAAAACTGTTTGTTCTATCTGATGCCAGACTGATGTTTTCGCACAGGGAGAGCTTTGATGCAGTCACGGTTATGAATGCAGTGCCAGATACAGGGTGCTGTAAACAGGAATTTTAATGTATGTGTATCTGCACCAAATCTCATGTCAAAGCACTCATTTCAGAGGGTAAAACTCAAAGGATAGCGTCTCACACTAAGTATTGGATGTATAAGTATTTTTCCCTTGCTAAGTGTTAAATTTCACTGGAGAAGATAATGCTATGAAATATCGCAGGCAGAAGGGGAAGGCCAGATCGGAGAAGGATCAACTCCAGAAAGGAAGCCCAACCCGGGAGTTTCCAAGAGCTGAGCGGAGCTGTTCAGTGCCAGATAATTTGGAGGGCACCCATTCTCAGGGTTGGCCCCGAGTTGGAGGCAACTTGATGGCACATAATAATAAAGTGGGCGCTGCTCTTCCTAGGAACACCTGATTGGCCACTGTGAGAAAGGATGCTGAGGTCTGGTACCCAGCAGGGCTCTTTTTAGGTTCTTGCTATTAAGAGTCCTGGAGGAAGACCTGGGACAAGGTTCACTTGACTCGAGAAGTAGCCAATGGAACGGCAGATGCGCCTCTCTAGGTCTGCCTGCCCCAGTCTTATGCCTTCCAGACTCATTTGGACTGCAATACCCAGAATTCCCAGTCAATGGTCTTGCTGGATGGGAATTGTGGGAGCTGTGGTCCAAATGCCTCTGAAGGCCACCAGGTTGGAGAACGCTGCTCTTGGTGTTGAACGGAGGAGGGCCATCTCTGCGGTGGCGCCCCAACTATGGAATGCGCTCCCCAGAGAGGTCTGCCTGGCGCCATCATTATATGCTTTTTGGCGCCAGGTTAAGACCTATTTAGTTAATCAATATTTTAATATGTTTTAATATCAAATTTTATTATTGTATGTTATTAATTTGCAGCCAGAGTGTTAGCTGTCCAGAGATGTTAGTAATGGACGGCATACAAATTTTATAAATAAACAAACAAACAAACACGGAGGTCTGCAGTTTAATGAAACACAAGCGGGCAGGCATTTTCACTGACTTGGAGTTATATTGGAGTTGCCACCCTGAGACACAGTGGAGAGAGGGATATAAAAGCTATTAAAAAATTAAAATACTTGGTTTTCTTTATCCCACAGTGTAGTACCACTGGCAAAATGGATTTCCCCTCCCCTCCAGCAGGCTTCTCAGGGGACCCCCTGGAGTAGATACGGGGTACATGGGTGGGAAAGAAGGGAAGGGAAGTTCTTGTGTAATGAGTGGGAGCCACTGGCGTAATTTTGTATGCAGCCCTTTGATCGGCCCGCGAACCCAAAGGCCAGATTCCACCCGAGGAACCTTGAGGGGCAGAGCTGTGCTCCACTGGTGGGTGGAGCCAAAAGCAAGGAGGTGGGGCCTAAAGCCAGCCTATTTTAGCCTGACACTTCTACTGCTAGCAATAACCTTAGGAGAGACCTTCGGCTCTTGGAATGGGGCAACGCTGCACAGACCCCAAAAGCCACCGAACCACCGCAGTGAAATTGCTCCAGCAATGTTTGCAGAAACAGCGTGCGGCCGAAACTTCCCCAAGACTCACCTTGAAGGGTTTGCCGGCCTCAAAGGGGAACCAGGGGGCCGTCCGCTCCTCCTTCCCCCAGGTATTCTGAAGCATCGTGTTGCAGACAATCACTTTCCGGCCGTCCTCATTGAATCGCGGGTTGAAGTGGAAGGCAATGTCATTGCCCTTCTTCAAGTCCACTTGAAATCTGCAAGGGCAGACAAGACGTCCCGATATGCCAGAGGAATGTTGCAATGTTTGAATGCAGGGAGGGTCATTTAAGTTAAGCTCATTACGAATGCACGTCAAGGGTGTTCTGACATCACTGCCTCGGTTCTGTAAGCCCAGAAAGTCACTGGCCTGCTGTAACCATGGATAAAATGAAGCATGCTACAAATAATCCTTGTTTAAAGTACTCGGAGGAGAGATTGAAACAACTGGGCACGTTTAGTCTGAGAAGAGAAGACTTGAGGGGGAATAGGACAGCCGTCTTTGATACTTGAAAGGCTGTCACGAAGAGGAAGGCCAGGATCTCGTCTTGGTCATCCCAGAGGGCAGATCATGGAATAATGACCTCAAGTTACAGAAACCCAGATTCCAGTTAGATATTGGGGAACACTTCCTGACAGCTGGAGCAATACAACAACAGAACCTGTGACCTAGGGAGGTGGCGGGCTCTCCCATGCTGGAGGCATTCAAGATGCGGCCGGACAGCCTCCGAAAGGGATGGTTTAACCAGGAGGCCTGCCCTGAGCAGAGGGTTGGACCCGATGGCCCTCTGGCCCCTTCCAGCTCTCCTCTTCTGTAATGCTAAGTTCTGAAACTTGATTGTATCATGATTCTATCCCACCATTTTTTCTTCAAGAAACAAGAGGTGCCTTACAAAAGCCCTCCAGCCCCTTTCCATTTTATCTTCACAACAACCCTGCAGGGTAGATTCATTTAAGTGCACATGTCTTGGCCCAAAGTCTCTCACTGAACTTCATGCCAAGCAGCCAAGTCCATCTTTCTAACCACTACACCACACTGGTTCTCTCTATAATGCACATTTTTAAAGGTTTTTTTTCTACATGGTTCTGCTAGCAGGGGTTAGCCAGTGTGACAGAAAGCTGTAACAACCATAACAATCATCCCAGTGGATTGGAGCAACTTGAGCGGTTATTAACATGCATGTGGGTCGTTACCACCCAGAGCGCCCCGTACTGGACTATAGGTTGCAGTAATAGAAGTTTTAAAAATAAAGAACTAAGTCCTATTTAGGTTGTCTGAAAGCCAGGCTGTGATTAAAGGGTCTGGCAAAAAGGACCATTAAAAACCTTGAGATCTAGGAAGAGATTTTAATACCTGTCTGGGTGCAGCTGGCCTGTTCCTTAACCAATTCCAGGACACCTCCAATGAGCAAGGAGGGGCTTGCTTCTTATTCCTCTCCCCATCTGACTCTACCTGGGCACTTCGATCCATACCAGAGTGCCACTTCCAAGGGAGGGTTTACATCCGTATATGCCCAGCCGCCCCCTGAGATCAGCGGGAGAGGCCCTCCTCCGGGAGCCCTCAGTGAAGGAAATTAGGAGGGTGGTTACTCGGAGGAGGGCTTTCTCTGCGGTGGCGCCTAAGTTATAGAACGCGCTCCCCAGAGAGGTCCGCCTGGCGCCGTCGTTATTTGTTTTTCGGCACCAGGCGAAGACCTTTTTATTTAAGCAGCATTTTAAATGTTAATACTATTTGAATTTTATTTGGCCAGGATGGCTTATTTTATTCTAATGTATATATTTTAATTGTTATTGTTTTAATTTATTGTGTACTTTATTCTATGCTGTGAGCTGCCCCGAGATTTCGGCAAGGGGCGGCATAGAAATGTTTTAATAAAAATTAAAAAAAAATAAAATACAGGGCGGCAACAAGACAAAGGGTTTTCTCCCTAGTGGCCCTCCAGTTATGGAAGGAACTCCCCACTGAGGCTGACTCAGGGCCAATACGGTCAGGTTAGGACTGTTCCCTGCTCCCGGGCATATGATGCGACGTGTGAGCTGTTTAACTAGCGTTCACTGAAATTGCTTTACCTGTTGGAGCACTGAGGGAGTAACATTCCGGTATACTATTTTATTGTAACTCTGTTTGAACATTTATTGCTATTATGGCACCTTTACAATGAATTGGTGAGAGCGCTTCAGCAACGGCATAAAGCCAAGAGGAAAGCAGAGCAAAGCAGGGTGGGGAACAGGGGAAGGGCCAGGTGTGATCCAACCCGCAGGCGGCCACAAAGGCGGAAAACCTAGCGCTCCGAGACTTACTTGTTTGGCCTCGCGTTCACTGTCCCAGCTACGGTGATCATCAAGCGAGGCACAAGGCCAGCCTGGAGTGGAATGTCGCAAGGGACTTTCTACAAAAGGAAACAGAAGATCTGCGTGAGAGTCAAACTAAATAAAAATGAGGCAAAGCACCTTGCCGGCACCAACTGCCGGGCCAATTAGCGCAAGCGACAAGAAGTCCAGAGCCTTAGATTTGACTTTGGAACCTTCTGTGGCTGCTATCTTCTGACCACCCTTTCCTGTTGGCATCATCCAGCCCCATAATCATTAGGGCACGCGTGAGGGTCCCCCATTCTCCCCCCCCCCTTCACAATCCCTTTACTCCACACTCCTCCAGGGGCCAAATTTCATTCCAGCAAAGCCCCCGGAGGCTGGATTGCCATGGTGGATGGGGCAAAGTATGAACAAAGCCGGTCAGTTTTAGTTTAAACCTCTCAAGACCAGTATCAACGCCTTCTTTCCTTGCCAATGGGACACTGCACAAAAGCTAAAAAAACCTACCAAATGGTTAGCAGTCAGAGGGAGGGGCGTGGCCATCTAAGAAACTCCAGGAGCCCAGATTGGGTCCACCAATCTGGGCTTCCCAGACCCGGCACCACACCGATTTCTGCCTGGCTTGTACCTACTTCAACTCTCCCCTCAAAGATGTAGGTTTCACTGCCCTCAGTGCATTTCAACCAAGTCAGAAATCGGCATTTATTTGGGTCTAACTGAATGTAGCTTTCGGTGGCCACCCGGGGCTAATGTGACGCCGTGGCAAAATGCATCCGATTGCCCTTGTTTCCTCCAGCTGCTACTGCTTGCTGAGTGGGCAAAAGCGTTTGCTTCCACAGTGAGATCCTGGGGTTCCTAGCGAACAAACAGGAACGGGGGTACAGACACAAATTGCTCACCGGAGCAGTCACAGGGCCGCCAGATGGAGGTCCGAATCCAGGCCCGCTCGGCTGTGGTGCGCTCGGCTGAGCTCCACCGCCACTCGGGGGGTGCCCAGGTGCCGGATACATTCCAGAAGCACCTGGTGGAACCATGCCCGGGGCGCTGGGGAAGCCACCTGGCGCTGGCGGGCCTCCCGGGTATCCCGCAGGTGCTGGCGGGGCTCCGGGGAATCCCGCAGGTGCTGTCGGGGCTCCGGGGAATCCCGCAGGTGCTGTCGGGGCTCCGGGATACAAGCCTGGGAATGCGGCCGGATAGCCGGGGAACGCCCCGGGCTGGTTTCCCCAAGCAGCAGGCGGTGCATTTGGGTTCGGGTTGTTGGGCCCGGAAAGGGCATCGGAGAGCTGTTGGGGAAGGCAAGAGAACTTCAGCACCTTTCCAGAGTTTTCCACTCACATGTTAGCACTGCTTAGGTGGGAGCCCTTTTTTGCTGAAATCACAGGTGCAGGAGCTGGAGAGTGAAAAACAGATGGAAGCAAAACAGGGGTGCATGCAAAACCCGGCACTGGAGGAGAGCTTTGCAAGGACCCTGGACTGACAGAAAGGCATACAAGTGAGCTCTGGACCAGATCAAGCCGGAACTTAGCCTGGAAGCAAGAATGACCAAACCGTAATACTTTGGGCACACGAGCAAGCAAAACTTCTGGAGAAGACCATCATGTTAGGGAAAGCAGAAGGCAGAAGAGATGGATGGATTCGGTCAAGAGAGCTGCAGCCTTGAATTTAGAAGAGCTGAGCAGGGCTGTCGAGAACAGGCTATTTCGGGGGACTCTCCTGCGCAGGGTCACCACGAAGTCGGAGACAACGTGATGGTCCGTAAGCAGTCCCACCACCACGTGGGTGGAGCGCTCTTGCTTCTCCGAGGCGGCCGTTCGCAGTATGGATTTCACCGAGAGTTCCTCCGCACCGCTCGCTCCGTCAGTGGCACCTCTGCCACGTTACAAGGGACACGAATCCTTTTCGGAAGGTGGCCTTAAAAAGCGCCACCGCTTAAGAAACAGGCGACTCACCGAAAAGCCGTCAGACATCCTCCTGAAAGAAAATGGAAAGCAGAGAAGATCAGCACTGCAGTCTGTTTCGGATGCGAAGCAGCTGGTCCCAGACCTTGGCAGAAGCCCAAGGCAAGCAAGAGAATCAAAACAGCGTAACGGAAGAGTTCGGGACTCCCATTTTTACTTGGGGGGGGGAGGGCGGAAGAGCACAGCTGTGATCCTCAAGCTGCTCAGAAGGTCGCTCCAAACTTCGGCTGACTCTTAGGCTAGCCTACCCCGCAAGGTTGTTGTGAGGAGTAACTATAAGTACACAGTTCTGGGTGGCTTGGGAAAAGAGCAAAGGTAAAGGTGTGGATGTACCCAACTATATATATATATATATATATATAAAATATGGAGAGCTTATATGTCGCCCCATTCGCATAAGCCTTGGGGAGGCTTCCAAACCATAAATAAATATAATCAATACATTTATTTATTTATTTATTTATTTATTTATTTTATTTATTTAGGGAACTTCTATGCCGCCCCATTTGCCGAAGCCTCGGGGCGGCTCACAAACATAAATAAATAACATCCTATAAAACAATATAATTCAACAGTATAAATTAAGTCACCCTGGTCAAAGAATAAAATAAATAAATAATATTAGCAATTAAAATAAATTCACAATTCTAACAATTCAATTAGAGTAAATTACATAAAATATTGGAGACATCCTGGCAAAAAATAGTTAAAATCAATAAATAAAAGTAACAATTAAAACAATTAAAATGACATTTGAATAAAAAGGTCTTGGCCTGATGCCGAAAAGCAAATGACGGCGGCGCCAGGCAGACCTCTCCGGGCTGTCCTAGTTCAAACATGCTGCTAAGCTTAAACCTCCATTTAAACCTATTCTCCAAGGCAGAGTCCCAGAAAACCAGCCCTGTAAGCTTCAGATTGCCCTGTTTAAGGAAAATGAATTTTAGGACAGGAGCCTGAATGCCAACAGCGCAGCCTGGAGATCCCCAGAGAGGTCAGCCTGGCGCCGTCGTTATTTGTTTTTCAGCACCAGGCTAAGACCTTTTTATTTAAAACTTATTTTAATTGTTAAATTATTTAATTAATAGGATTTTAAATTTTTAGCAGAGAATGCAGCAGGGGTTTTTTAACGATTTTTTAAAAAATTGTTGTATTGTTATTATTTATGTATTTATGTATTCTTTGTGAGCCGCCCCGAGGCTTTGTTGAGATGGGGCGGCATAGAAATGTTTTAAATAAATAAAAATAAAATCTGCAGGGCACTGGTATCCAGCAGATGCAGGTTGGGGGAAAGGCTTACTGCTGGGTGATCTCAAGCACACTCTGGAGCAGCAGACCCCAAGAGTGGCCTGCGGGGCTGACAGAGCACAGAGCGGACTGGAACATTTTATTTATCGTTTATTGCATTTTAATACCACTCCTATAGCCCTCCAGGACACTCTGGGCGGTGAACAAGCCGAACAAATATATAACACTATGAAGAGCAACCATAAAATGTATCCAACAAAAATTCATGCAATAAAATAGAATAACAAGAAGCGCTAACAGATAACTGCAACAGTCAGTAAAATTTCCTCAGGTAGAACAATGATAAAACGATAATTAAATATCCTAAGATATTAAGTAAGCAGTTCTTACATGTCTGGAGAATAGGACAGTCTTTGCCTGGCAACAGAAAGGCAGTAATGCGGGTGCCAGACATATTTCTCTGGGGAGGATGTTCCACAGGTGGGGCGCAACCACCAAGAAGGCCATTCTCCTGTTTGCCCCCCCCCCACACACCTCTTTAGGGGGCGGCTCCCTCAGAAAGATCCCAGTGGTCAGGTGGGAACAGGTGGGAACAGGTGGGAGCAGGCGTTCCTTCAAGTGCCCTGTGCTCTTTACTGATGCAGCATCGACTGGGTGTCTGTGCAGCGGATCACCACCTGTGCGGTGCTGGCTAGAGGATCCTGGGAAATGTAGTCCAATGTCAGGTGTAGCAGAACCCGGGCAAACGTTTTTAATTAATGGGGATGCTGACCCCCCCCCTCTCCTTGTTCCCACAGTGGCTTAAGGGGGGAAGCGGTTTTCCCAGCAATCTCTCCTTCCCTGTTCTAATGCAGAATAATTTGATCTGGTTTCAGCTGGAAAGAGCGATGAAGGCCGTAAGCCTTAGGGAAGATCCACTCGGGGTGGAAATGAAGGCAGCAGAGAATTGATGCGTGGACCGTTTCTGCCGCCCCTTCGGGCACGACTGCAAGACCGGTCACAATGAGCCTCTGCAGCCCAACAATCCTCTCTGTAGGACCCATCTGGAAGTTGGCAGGATGGGGAAAATGCTTTGGAGCACAAGATTAAATCAGTCCCCGTTTCCACACAACGGGCTCAACCGGAAGGACGCAGGGGAGCTTCATAGGGTGGACTGGTAGCCCAGTGAACTTTCCCAGTGTGCAAAAGTCAGGATAGTCTTCTGAAGCCATGGCAAAGCTGTGGAGACTTCTGGCTGTTAGGGCAAGCGCCAGGGACCACGGCCTTGTGGCCGCCGTCCCCAGAAATTCTGAGAAAAAGGGCCGGCTTTGGGGTGAGAACAAAACCTCCCCACAGCAGCTTTCCTCTTTGCTTGTCTCCTGGGTGCACTTGCCGCTTCTGAAATGGGGAAACCAGGATTTTATAAACGCCATGGCAGGAGGCAGTTGTCCTCTGCAGCCATATTGCATTCGATAAACGATAAACCATCTTTATGAGTAGTTTGGTTTCTTCCTACATTTCCTTGAATCTAAAGTGAGGCTGGCTGGACCAGGACTGCAGGTTAAAACACTTCCAAGGAGCTGGGTGTAGGAAGAGCGCGCCTGTGAGTTAGAGAGACAGTTCAACAGAGAGCTTTTGCGAGTCATTGCATTGGCCTGTGCAAACAAAAAACTGCTCCAGATTGGCAGTTTGCCGCCAGCACTCAGTAACGAACTGCTCTGTAGCACTAAATTTAATTTGCAAGCTAAGTTTAGCACCTCCAGCAGCTCGCACAAGCCGAAAGACTTGAATTCACCTTGCAAAAACACTGTACTTCATTGTTTTGCCCTGGCCAACTTCAACAGCGCCCTTCCTGGCCCCCGTTTTAGTTTCTACCCTCAGCACTGCACGGAACAGCGTGTCACTCAGGGCCATGTGCTGCCCAGGTGGCCTGCATTTATTTCTTCGCTTGCTTGCTTGCTTGATGGCATCTCCGTCACAGCAAAAGATCCCTCCTTCCACAAGCTTGGGCAGGCATTTTGCTTACTGCATATCCTACTGCAAGAAGGTGGGAGACGGGGAGGTGGGGAAACACCCCAGAGATGGTTGCGCAAAGAGGCTCCGCTGTGCCTCGCTGGCTTTTACAGCTTTTTGCGTTTCATCAGGAGCATCCCTGAAAAGACCCAGACACAAAATGCTCAGACTGTTGCTTTAGATATGTGCTGAAAGTTTGTGTGTCTCGAAAGGAGACTGTCTCCACAGTCCCCCATGTTGGTTAAAAAGTGGTGTACAGCCAGGGAAGAGGTGGGCTTTTGATTTCAGAAAGACAGTCTCCAGGAGGAAGATTCAACACGGCCCTGTGAGGAGGGACTGAGGAGACTGGGCATGCTCAGCCTTGAGGAGAGGAGAGGAGAGGAGACTGAGGGGGGACACGGTATCCCTCTACAAGGACCCCGAAGACTGTCGCAAAGAGGAAGGCCAAGATCTCTTCTTGCTGATGCCAGAGTGCAGGACACGGAAGAATCAGTTCAAGTTGTGGCAACCCAGATTCAGGTTGGACATCAGGAAAAGCTTCCTCGCTGCCAGAGCAATACGGCAGTGGGACTGCCTGGAGAGGTGGGGGGCTCTCCCACACTGGAGACATTCAGAAAGAAACTGGGCAGCCATCTGGATGGGATGGTGTAACGTGGTGTCCTGCAACAGCAGGGGGTGGACTTGATGGCCTTCATGGACCCTTCCAACTCTATGCTTCTAACTGGCAGGGCGCAGGTGGGGAGGAAGCAGCTGGGAGCAAAAAGAGCGCCATCCCAGGGACATCAGACACAAAGTCTGCACGTTCATTTCATCATCTGCCCCTGGATGGCAGGGAGGCAGAGCTGACGGGTGTTCTGCCATGAGAACCCAGTCCTTTATCCCCCACAAACCAGCCACCCGGAGAACCCATGGGCTGTTGTGGGGGTTCTGGTGTCCACAGTGGGTCATCACAGCATCTGAACACAGAGGACTGGGCCTATCACGGGTATCGGGGACTCGCTGCAGAGCCGCACAGCAAAAGCAGCAAAACACACTTGCGGGAGTTTCCGAACAACCAGCAGTGCCAGCCTCAGCCCCCAAAGTTCCCAAGTGACACTTGGGGGGCTGCTGGAACTGGCTTCCCCCACGCCCCACCGCAAGCCCAAACTAGGAATAGAGCATGGACGCCCGATTTGGAAGTAGGCTGGTCTGAGCGTAAGGAACCACGGCCTTTCCAGCGTGCTGCCAACTAATTCTCTCCTAAATTTTATGCACATGGTGTTGACTCATCCTGGAATAAACTGAGGAGCCGTCCAGGAACATATTTTGGTTTCCTTCACACAGAGACGTTTTGTGGAGAGAGTTCAGGGCAGTGCAGGATATTAGAGGCCCTGATGGAAAACCACGAGCTCGGTCGAAAGCTGCGGGGGGGGGGGGGGGCGCGCCGGCTGCCCCTGCCCGCGCCTTCAGAGAAATAGCAAGCGCTTCCTCTGTCGGACAAAACACGCCCGGCGGTTGTGCAAGACCTCGGGAGAGCAGAGGTGAGTCATGGCTCCGCAAGCCCATCGCTCCCTGCGAGGCCTCACCAACTCTGCCAAGGCTTCCTCGTGAATGGGAACGTTTCTGCCATACAGGAGAAGCTGGCCTTTGCCCACCGGGCACAGATGATGGGCACTGTAGTCTGACATATTTGGAGGTGCTGCATTGGAAACCGTGCTGCGTTATCATAATGGAAAATGCTAGAAACGCAACGAAATGGACGGGACTTTTTAAACGCATGTCATAGACATGTGACAA